GTAGCAGCACAACAGGGCTTTTGGAATTTCAAAAGCAAGCGGCCCCAACATAGATGAACGCCCATGCCGTCTGTGCTGGACTGACTGCAGTAGCGGCAGGCAGCTAAACGCTAATAAGGTACTAGCGTTTACTAATACCTCAAAGGTAATATTGATGCGCGTGCCAGGAAGCAGAGGGGGAGCAGAAGGGTTTCGCTGCTGCTGCTGCTGCTGCTGCTGCTGCCGCTGCTGCTGCTGCAAGGGCCAGCGTTGCTGTGCTGATTGGTATTTGAAAGCCTGCTGCTGCTGCAAAGTGTGGTAGTTGGACGGTTGTTGCTGCTGCATGACAAAGGATCGAACAATCCGACCAGGAACAAGTACCGTAACCTCCTCCTCATTCCACCCGCACCTTCTACCCTCCTCCCGATCCCACCCACTCATTTTACCCTCCTCCCCTTCTCCCATCGCTCCCTTTTCCGCCATCATTTCCCCATGCCTATCCCACCCGGACCTGCCATTGCTCTCTGCCCCTGCCACCAGTCCCCCTGCCCCCACCACATGGCCATCCAGCTGGGTTCCTAGATCAGACAGTCGCCCCGGCAGCACCATACCACTCGCTGACACGCCTGTTGTTCCATTGCTGGTTGCGGAGTGGTGGGTGGGGATGGGAGGGGGAGTACGGAAAGAAGGGAAGGTTCTTGAGGAACCTCACAACAGCTGCCCTGGCAGGCAGCACGATACTAGAGGCTAGCACAGCGGTTGTTCCCTTGCTGGTTGTGAAGGTGGTGGGGATGGGAGGGAGGGTGGGGGGAAGTAAAGGTATTGGAGGCGCCTGAGAAGAAATCAGGTGCCCAGGCAGCACAGACCAAGCTTGTTCAGAAAAATAAATCAAAAATCAACTGTAAACAAAAAACTCAACAGTGCCCGCCCAGGCAACACAGCCTTATTGGAGTCACTTTTGATCTTACGCACAAGTGACAACAGTGCCCAGGCAACACAGCCTTATTGGAGTCATTTTTATCTTACGCACAAGTGACAACAGTGCCCAGGCAGCACAGCTGAAGATGTTGACACGGCTGTTGCAGCGTTGATGGTTTCACAAGGTGGGGGGAAGGGAAGAGGGGAAGGGGCCAACTGGCGTAAGTAAGAGGTTAGGAAGAAGGGTAACCGGGACGGGTGTGGGCAGGTAAAAGAGTACGGTGGAAAGAGGTTGGGAGGGTAGGAGCATGAGGTGGGGGGGAGGAGGGAGGGGATACCAAGGACGAATGGTGTGAGAAGAAAAAATCACACCTCCCATCTCTCCCCCCTTTTCTCCCCCACAAATCCCCGTTCCCCCTCGCAGCCACCCAGATGTTTGCCCAGTCTGCTTGTTACCTGGACTGGAAAAAGTCGAACCGCAGCAGCTTACGGCCCTTGGGATCCTGCAGTCAACAAAAGTCAACGACAGTGAAGGGGATTCAACGGTATTCGACGGAAAATTGTGCCAACAGAAAAGGGAGAAGCGCCGAATGACGTCGTTCAGAGACTTGCGGGCCCCTGCACGCGAAAGAGGCGACTCTGAGTGACTCATAAATCACTCTGTTTCGTGAACGCGCAGGGGGACGCGATGAAACGACACAATCAGGGACTTGCGGGCCCCTGCACGCGAAATAGGCGACTTCTAAGTCGACTCATAAATCACTCGCAGGGGGAGTCGACTTCTAAGTTGTTAGAAAAAATCACACCTCCCATCTCTCCCCCCTTCTAAGTTGCTTCTAAACGCGCAGGGGGAGGCGATGAAACAACACAATCAGGGACTTACGGGCCCCTGCACTCGAACGAGGCACCCCGAAGATTTCGCCAGCCGCACTACTCTGTCGTCCATGGCTCCGGCTCTCTCGAGGTATTCTACCAGCCAATGAGTCGATGTTTGAACGATTTCTGTACAGGAATTCAAGTACCAGTTAGATACTAGCTATGACGTGAAAAACTGCGTCAAATTCGCCGCTCTCGATCAGTCCAGCCGTGGCTTCATCATCGCTCCTTCGCTTGCCCACGTTCCTCCTCTCGCCGCTTCCCTTGCTATCCGACGCTGTCTGCTTTTTGGGCAAACTTATCAAAGGCGTGTCGGGAGTAAGAGAACAAGTCGACACGCGCGGAGGTCACGGAGAGTTACGGTGCATTCAATGCGCGTGTTCTGTGCGTGCAACCTCTCCTCTCCTATCCTCAGTAGCCTAATTAGGGTGCATTCCTGGTTGGTGGCAGGGCAACTGTTCACATCGAGTTGGTGGCAAGTGTACCCAAAAATTCAGTGGGCCGGAAAATGCGCTTGCCACCAACAGTTGCCCTGCCACCAACTCAGGAATGCACCCTTAGTCTCGAGCGCCCAACAGACACCAGTGTGTTGTACCCGATAAAGGTAGGGAATCTATTTGAATTAAACAGTCGAGAAGTAGCTACACCATCTTATTCATGTTGCATATGATCTTTTCTTCAATGAAAAGTAATATTTGCCCAAAAGAAGGCATATGCATGGGTTTTCGGTAAACGGAGGTTTTGAACGCTGCAGTTCGGTTCCTCTGCCGCAGCAGACAGCCTGGCCGTCTGTCGTGACTTGGTGGTCCAGCTCCAGCACCACCGCCCACCACACAAGCAAGAGCACCAGCTCACCAGTGGTGCACTTGTCGTTACATAGCATCGCCAGTTGGCTGGCTGGTTTGAGAAGGGCGAGCACTGACCGTCCGATGGTCGTTAGGTTGTCCACGTTATCGCGGCTGAGTGGACGATCGGTTCGATTGCCAGCGAATCTGTCGCAATTGACGCTTGACCGTTGGATGGGAGAATTGACACGCGGACCGCGGTAGACTGTGCAGAGCAGCACGCGTGGCAAAACGGCATCAACTCGACCCATAGCACAGCAGGGCCTGAGGCAAAAAGTTCAACAACATTTGTTCCGTACGCTGACTGGATTGGATGGGCCCTCCCTTCGTTCGAGTGCTCGTTTGCTTGTGGATTGGTACGACAATCAGTCTCGTGACTCGAGAATTGATCAGGTCGATTTGAAACTGTACAGATTTGACACGTCTCCAGCTTGCTGGAGAGAGTCTCGTCGAGTGGTGTCGTCGTCTCGCTTATTTCTCCTGATACGCGAAGTGAACCGCGAGAAATGGATAGAGCCCACTAGAGTCACCACGAGCACTACAGTACAGTGTAGTGAGGTCGAGTTTGAAGCACCGAGTGGACACTGATGTGACGTGACGACGACAAGGACGGGTTTCGTTTTCGCAGGCCTCGCATATCGCAGCGCGAGCACACAGCAGGTTACAGGTTACACAGTACAACACTACACAGTGCGACACAGAGCAGCTAGTGTAGGTGGTTCCTCCCTGCCTTCCTCCTCTCCACATCACATCACTTCCATTCCATCCATCCCTCCCTCCCCAAACAAAAGCGAGTAGTATTTCCCGTCAGCATGCACCTCCCATCGCAAATAGGTCTACGCAGTAGATGCAGTTTATATGCAACCTTTCGCGTGCGCACACGCAGTTAGCATGTCCTCCCACCATTCACGGCATATCCCATCCACCCTAACCTTTCCCAGTAACACCTGACCAGAAGAATGTACTAGTAATCTACTTAGCAAAACTTCACCTCGTTTTCCAAACATGGGTCGCAACAGTTCGACCACCAGCAGCAGCAGTGCCGGGCATTCTAGCGCTGACCCTAACCCTAACCCTAGCAACGGGCCGCCACGAACCACGGGCCGGCAGGGCCGCCACAAACACAGCTACAGCATGGACTATTCAACGGCCTCTCCTCTCGCGCTTCCGCCGTCCGGTCCTAAGCCTAGGTCGCAGAACAACAGCCCAGGCGACAATGGCGGCCACCGCGGCGGCGGCGGGAGCAGGCAGTCGCCTCTCTCGGGCGTGACGGCTCACAGTGGCGGCGGAAGCGCGAAGAAGTCTTCCTCGTGGATGCCTCAGATGCCTCAAATGCCGCATCTTAGTCCGCGCTTCCTATGCTCAGCGGGAATGCCGCCGGAACTTCAAAACGGTTATTTCGGCCATTTGGATCTCGGCGACCGCGACGAAGACGACGACGATGACGAAATTCTCGGTGGCCAATTGGGTAACCGATCGCGTAGCGAAGTCCTCTACAGGCGCCCGCTCGTCGCAGACGCCGTCGAGGTCAGCTGCAGCCGCGGCGGCGGCAGCGGCGGGTACTCCCGCGCGAAGACCGAGATCCCGCGGAACGCGCGCGCAAGAGCCGCAGCCGCAGCCGCTGCCACCTCCCGCTCGCCTGCGCCTCGAGGCGGCGGCGGCGGCGCGGCCAGCGCGGGCGCAGCGGCAGGGATCGACGCGCATCAGCAGGAGGAGGCGGACGCTGATGAGGAGGAGAGCGAGGAGCGGTTCGGCAGAGCTAGCTCCATGCCTGCCTCGATGCACCGGCGGCGAAGATCCCTAGGCGGCGGGTTGGTCTCCCTAGGGTCTGGCGGTCTGACCTCCCTAGGATCCCCTGGCGCGCCTGGCGGGCTGGCTTCGTGCTTGCAGCCTAGATCGTCGGAGATGGACGAAGACACTACAATCCGCTTTACAGAAGGACCCGCCATAAGTTCTAGGTCGAGCTCTGGAAGGATCGGCGGCGGGGTTCTGGATGGATCGCTGACCTCTGGTGATGATGATAGTGGTCGGTTTGATAGTGGTAGGTCCGGTAGTGGCCGGTTTGGTAGTGGTAGGCTTGGGAGTGGTAGGCTTGGTAGTGGTAGGCTCGGCAGTGGTAAGCTCGGTAGTGGTAGGTTTGGTGATGATCGCTTGTCAACCGACTCTTTCTCTGGCCGCGGGGAGAATGTCAAGGGTGGGGCACCGAATCCGAAAGTTCGCCGAAGCTATTCCGGAGCTTCGGACAGCTCAGGTAGGCTCGGTGACAGGCCTGGGGACAGAGTAGGAGAGGCGTATCCGGATGGGCGGGTTGAGAGTCTGCTGGAAGAACGTGCCTCAAACAATATCGCGTACAAGGGAAGAGGCTCGCAATCAGGGCCGTTGATGCCCCGCTGGTCACTGCAAATAAACGGCTGCGATCAAGCAGGGTCCGAGCGCACAGAGGAACCTTCCTCTCACCCGCCGCGGAGACCTACAGGTGCAGCAGAGCGGCTCAAGTCCCGCAGTTACATTGGAAGCAGCTTCTCAGGTGGGGGTATGGAATCTATAGCTGCTTCTGCCGCTGCTGCTGCTGCTTCGGCGTCTAGTGTTGAGTCGAGTAGAAAACCAGGTGCTGCTGCACAGAGGCTTAAGTCCAGCAGCTTCATTGGGCGGAGTTTTTCTGGGGGGGGTGTGGAGTCTGCATCTGCTTCTGCTGCTGCTGCGGCGGCGTCTATCCGCGCTGCATTACGGGCGTCCGTGCTTCGAAGCTCGTCAGGAGTGGGGAAAGAGGGGCAGGCGGGAGATGGACAGGGGCGAGAGGGACAGGGGGGACAGGCAGGAGGGGGGCAGAAAGGGAGAAGCGGAGGTTCGGGTCGATGGTTGATTGCAAAGAGCTTCTCAGGAAGCCGTGCTCGCACAGGTGATGCTGCTGCTGATGCTGCTGCTGATGCTGCTGCTGCTGCTGTTGCTGCTGCTGCTGGTAGTGATGCTGCTGCTACTAATGGTGATGTTGAGGCTGCTGACGGTAAGTTTCGGGTGGATGAGTCACGTTCGGCCAGCGTGCGAGGCACGGGTGGGGAGGAGGAGGAGGGATTTGGAGTGTGTGGCAGGGAGAGCAGGGACGGTGGCAGGAGAGAAGGGATGGAGGAAGAGGAGGGATCAGGAGAGTGTGGTGGGGGGAGCATTGACAGTGAGGAGGAGGAGAGTGAGAAAGAGGAGGAAGAGCGGGGAGAGGGGGGAGAAGAGGAAGAGGGGGAAGAGGTGGAAGAGGAGGAGGGCGAGGAAGTAGCTGTAGGGAGAGGGTTGTGGGAAGATTACAACGAGGGTGGAACTCTGAGAGCCGAGATGAGCTTACGAGACAGTGGATGGTCACCGGAGCAAGGGCAGTACGGAGCAGCGGATTGGATGAAGCACCCCAGCAGCAGGTTGATAGCAATGAATCGAGATGAGGTGGACGAGGAAGAGGAGGGAGAGGAGGGAGAGGAGGGTGAAAGAGAGGAGGGTGAAGGAGAGGAAGAGGAAGGAGAGGAGGGAGAGGAGGAGGAGAGGCAGGGCTTCATCCTGAGCAGCGGAGGTGTGGAAATGGAGGGTGCTGGGTGGCGGGAAGGGGGTTTCCAGGAATCTTCCGAGCCAATGCAAGATTCAAAACTAGGTGATACTCCGGATGGAAGCTTCCAGGAAAATGAGAACGACGGAGAAGGGTTTGGGATGGATAGGAGGCTATTGATGGGTGCTCCTTCGCTCAACCCCAATGCAGTGTTTGAAACGCCCCAGCAGCAAAGGGCGCTCATAGGAGCCCCTTCTCTCAACCCTAACGCAGATTTCGAGACTCCTCAGAAAAGGGTTTTGATGGGAGCTCCTTCGCTCAATCCTGATGCAGTTTTTGAGGTGCCCCAGCAGAGGGAGCTTATAGGGGCGCCGTCCCTTAACCCTGACGCGGGCTCACAGGCGTTTTGGGCGAGTTTGAAGGAGGGGAGAGGGGCGGATGTGTGGCATAGGGAGGCGGAGACGATTGCGGAAGAGGGGGATGGGGGAGAGGGAGGGGAAGGGGAAGAGGATGGGGAGGGGGAGGAGGGGGATGGGGCGAGTGGTGTGTTTGATCTGGCGCAAGGGCTGATGATGCAGGGAGAGGGGGGAGGTGTGGAAGAAGGAGGAGGGTTCGGTTTTGATGTGGGGGAGAGGGAGGAGGGAAACTGGGATGGAGGAGCAGCAGGGTACGAGGTTGGTGGCAGCAGGAGTATGGGGCGAGACATGGGTGTTGGTGGTCCGTGGGAGTCAGTGCGAGAAGCAGAGAGGGAAATGGATTCAGTATGCAGCAGCAGCAGCACTGCAATGCTGTTCCGAGGGAGTCAGAGCCTGGGAGCACCGGGAGTTCAAGGGGAGCTTCAAGAGAGGGATGATGGAAATGGGGAGTTTCAAGAAGGCGAGGTTGGATCAGACCTGTGGGGAAGGGCTGCAAGGGTTGAAAGCAGATATTCTTCCCAGGAGAAAAGCAGCAGCAGCAGCTTTCAGGCGTCCCCTGGTAGGTTCCTATACTCTGCTTCTGTTAGAGAGCCGCGCACCACCAGCAGCGGCTTCGGCAACAGCAGCAGTATCTTCGGCTCCAGTAGCAGCGTCGGCAACAGCGACATCGGCAGAAGCATTATCGGCGGCGTTGGCAGCAGCAGCAGCCGCTTCGGCCCGCGCGGGTTTGCAGCAGAGCGAGACATCGGGTCGTTTGCTGACGTGGACAGCGACACCATGGCACGGCTGGCGCGTGACGCAGCATCCCTGCTGGCACTCGATCTAACCACAAACGACCTATCTGCACCTGCCCCCTCCTCCTCCTCTCGCCCCAGCAGCCCGTTTTCCGGCCCGCTTTCCAGCCTGCTCCGCCGGTCCAAAACCCCCCCTCGCTCCCCCAACCAGACCCCCCCACGCACCCCCCCGCGCTCCCCCTCCCACACCCCCACCCACACCCCTCCCCGCACGCCCCCTGGCGGGGCCAGTCCAAACCGGTTCTTAGATAAGTGCAGGAGCGCGAGACTTGACCGGCCTAGTAGTCCTCTCAGGTTTGATCGGCCTGGGAGTCCCCTGAAGGGGGTGTGGGGTGTGTTAACGGGCCAGGGCGACGGGGGGAAAAGCGGGTGGGAGAGGATTGATGTCGATGCTGTGGTGGCTAGTGCTGCTGCTGCTGCTGCTTCTTCTACAGTAGTTGGTGGTGCTGCTGGTGCAGTTGATAGGTTTGTGCTGATGAGAGCAAAGACTGATAGCAGGGGGATGGATGATGGGGATGGGGATGGAGGGGGGTTTGGCGGGTTGTGGAGAGGGAGCGGGATGGGGGTGGGGATGGGGACGGGGGTGGGAGTGGGAGGGGGGCCGGAAGTGACTGCTTCTTGGAGAGAGAGGGTGAGCATGGCAGCATCACCCATGGGAAACGATGGAGGCGAGGGAGGTGCGGGGGAAGGAGGGTGGCGCGAAGGAGGAGGAGGAGTTGACGGAGGGGTTGAAGGGAACTGGCTAGCAAGAGAAGGAGCAGCAGTTGCAGCGACAGAAGTAGTAGCAGGGGGCATGGTTCAGAGAGAAGATACAGTAGAGGAAATGAGAGGAGGAGGGGGAGGGGGAACACCAGTAGCAGCAGCAGGGGCAAGTACAATGAGGGGAGGAGGAGCAGAGGCAGCAGCAGTAGACAAGGAAGCAGCACTGGAAAACGCGTGGATGATGGCGGAAGGGGAAGAGGAAGAAGAAACTCCAGATTTTGACGATTTCAGCCGCACACGAACCTTCACCTCTGCCATCCTAGCCGGAATCACCAAGAGAGTCACCGGGCCTAAGGCTGGGCCTGCCAAGCCTGGAGCCACCAAGCCTGGGTTCGCCATGCCTGGGCTTGGCAAGAGGGAGGATCCGGGTAGTAGCAGCAAGACGGTGGTTCCGAGGACTGTTAGTGATATGCTCAAGGATGCGGCAAAGGAGGGAATGGTGAAGGGCGAGGGGAAGCAGGGCAAGTGGTGGGCTTTCAGGGAGAAAGGGGAAGAGAGCGGTAGGGTGTTAGGGGGGCCTGGATGGGGTATTCTGGCCTCCAAGCCGAGACCAGGGGAGGAGGGAGGGGGTTTACAGGGTGCACCTGCACTGGAGGCACATGGTCTAGGTGGGTCAGGTAGGTTAGGTGGGCACAATGGGGATAGTAAGGGCGAGGAGGAGAAGGAGCGGGGCGGACTGTTTGGTTCCGCTCATACCCAACACCACCACCACTCGCGGCAGAAGTCGCAGATTTCGTTTGGGTCTGTTGCTGATTCTGCTCTGCTGTCTGGCCTGCCTTCGTTCCTTAAGTCGGTCACTTTCACCTCTGCTGAAGCCCAGGCGCACCACAAGCAGCAGCAGCAGCAAGAGGAGGAGGGGGAGGATCAGCTGCGGATGCAGCAGGGGGATGAGATGCCGGCAGAGTTATCAAGTCATGCACAGGAGATTGAGACACATGGGGGACCGTACGAGTCGTATGAATCGCGGGAACACACACAACAGCACAGAGAAGCAGATGAGGAGGAGAACCCTGAAGAGCAGCAGCAGCAGCAGCAGCAGCATAGGCCGTGGGGGTCTGCTGTGGGGTGCAGCCCGGTGGAGGAGGGTACAGCACGGTACCCTGCAAATCAGCAGCACAGCGATGGCTTGTGGGGCAGCAGTGGGGTGCACTGGAGGAGCAGTGGCAGTGCGGTGGAACGGCTGAGGGACGAGGCTGGCTGTGCTGCTTCCGACCCCAGCAGGGGTAGGAGCCTTTCCCGAATGCGCCCTGGTGTCAGTGCCTCTTTCTCTGGTCGTCTGCCTGCTGCTGCTACTGGTACTGCTGCTGCTGCTTCTGCTGCTAATGTTCCAACTACCACTACTGGTGATGGTGCAACTACCCCCATTGGTAATGGCGCAACGACCCCGACTGGTGGTGATGCGTCTGGCCCTGCTATCAGCCCTGTTGTCACTCCACGTGTTGCCTACTTCTCCTTCGACAAGTACCGCGAGGCTGTAGCAGGGGGAGGCTCGTCCGGGGGAGGTGCATCTGCAGAGGAGCGCGATGCGGAGGGGTACCTGCTATCTCACTCCTTTGGCAGCGGCAGGGCTAGAAGCAGGAGCAGCTTCAGCGGCAGATACGGCAGCAGCATTGGCGGTGGTGGTGGTAGCGGGAGTTTGACTCCCCCTCCTAGAGGAGCATTGGGGAAGAGTGGCAGCGGTTGCTTGACCCCTCCTTCTGGCGCACTGGGTAAGAATGGCAGCGGTAATTTGACCCTTCCTTCTGGTGCGTTGGGTAAGAGTGGGAGTGGCAGCCTTACGCCTCCTGGAAATATGTTTAGTCGCGGTGGCATGGGGAATGGGAGCGTGACCCCTCCAGGAAATATGTTCAGCAGGAGCGGCAGCAGGAGAGGGTTCACTCCGTCAGCAGGGGACATGTCTAGTCGGAGGCAAGCAGGAGACTGGACTTCACCGGGGGGAAGCAACCACAGCACCCACAGCAACCACAGCAACCACAGCAACTACAACCAGAGGAACGCCTGTGTTCGTAGCCACAGCCATAGCCACAGCCACCAGGAGCAGGAGGTTCACACCACGAGCAGCCACTCCCACCTGCAGCGAGGGTTTCCCCACGTGCGTGGGGGCGTTGAGCGAGTGGCCTCGGATTGTGCGGCAGACAAGAGAGCGAGGGAACGAGAAGCGGATAGATGGGACGAGGCAGAGCAAGGGGATGGTGTGCGAGGGCGAGTAGGGTCAGGCCGCATGAGTGGAGAGGGGGAGGGGGTGCTTCTGACTGCCAGTCTGGGAAGGCGGGTTGGGGAAGGGCAAGGGGGTTTGCGTGGGTCGCGACTGGGGAAGGGTGGTAGGGGCGACAAGGCGGCAGTGAGAGGGGTGGAGGAGGGTGAGAGGGAGGAGGGGGAGGAGGAGGAGGTGGGGAGTTGTGGTTCCCGTGCAAGCAGGGTGGCGGATGGAGCGTCGGGTGGGGCACGGCCAAAGTACGACAGGAAGGCCAGGTCAGTATTGCTGGCAGGCATGCAAGCATGGGGTCTGGTTTTCAAGTTATGGCACTCCACACCCGAGTGCCAGCGGCGTCTTAGTGCTTTTTATGCGTCTCAAAAGTCACCCACTTTCTGTTTCCTCTGACCAGGAGTCGCACCTTTTGGGAATCCAGAAGAGCCAAGCGTTAGGGTTTATGCTTTAGGGTTTCGGATAGTGTTTTAGGGTTCTAGGGTAGAGACGTGCGATTGCACTCCACACCTGAGCGGCAGCGGCCTCTGGAGCGTCCGGCAACCTCATCTGCTGCAGCAGGGGTTGGCAGGCCCCCCATCCACCACGCCCACTCCGCCTCTCTGGCTGCTCGTTCTGCTTTTTATTTGTGCAACTCCCCTTCCTTCCTCTCTCTTCTACCCACCGCTCCCGACACCAGGAGTCGCACCTTTGGCAATCCAGAAGAGCTCGTGGACCTCTACCCTCCCCCCGGCGCCTTTGAGCGGTCCCACTCCACACCCGAGCGGCGGCGGCCTCTTGATCGCCCAGCAACCTCCTCTGCTGCAGCAGGGGCTGGGAGACCTCCCATCCACCACGCCCACTCCGCCTCTCTGGCTGCTCGCTCCCTGGTGAACGGGCATGGGAGTGGGCAGAGGCTGAGAGGAGGTGAGTCCGGGCGGATTGGAGGGAGCAGATTGTCTGGGAAACAGCAGAGGAACCAGGGGTGGGACGAGCAGCAGGGGCGGTATGGGGAGGAGCATGAGCACAAGCAGGGGTATGAGGAGCAGCAGTATGAGCAGAACTATCAGCCGCAGCAAGTGCAGGAGAAGAAACAGCAGAAGGGGCGTAAGGAGTCGGGGGCAGCGCTGCATGTGGCGTGGAGGCAGTTGGAAGGGGAGGAGGAGGAGGAGGAAGAGTGGGATAGGCAGAATTCAGATCCTGTGGCAGGCGGCAGGGGGAGGGTGAAGGCTGTAAGGAAGCTAGTGGAGGACGAGGAGAATGGAGAGTGGGGACGGCAGAACTCAGATCCTGTGACAAGCGGCAGGGGGAGAGTGAAGGCTGTAAGGAGGCAAGTTCGGGAGGAGGAGGATGGAGAGTGGGGCAGGCAGAATTCAGATCCTGTAAAAGGGAGCAGGGAGAGGGTGAGGGCTGGAGGGAGGCACGTGGAGAATGAGGAGGATGGGGAGGATGGAGAATGGGGACGGCAGCACTCAGAACCTGCGAAACCCGGCAGGGAGAGGGTTAAGGCTGGAAAGGGGCACGTGGAGAACGAGGAGGATGGGAGTGATGGAGAATGGGGACGGCGGCACTCAGAACCTGTGAAAGGCGGCAGGGAGAGGGTGAAGGTGGGAAGGGGGGACGAGGAGGTTGAGGAGGAGAGAGAGTGGGATTCTGTGGAAGGCGGCCGGTCTGTGAATGCTGGATGGAGGCATGAGGAGGCCGATGAGGAGGAAGGAGAATGGGCTGAGGAGGACGGAAAGTGGGGCAGGCAGACGCACTGGAATTGTGTGAAAGATGGCAGGGAGAGGGAGAAGGCGGGACGGAGGCAAGTGGAGGAGAGGGAGATGATTGGATACGGTGGGGATGGTTATGAGGAGAACACAGAGGAGGAAGAGGAAGAGGCAGGGGATGGGGAAGAGGTGGAGGAAGAGGAGGAGGATGATGAAGAGGAGGAGGAGGAGGATGGGGAAGAGGTGGTGGAGAGTGGACAAACGAGATGGTCCAGAGATCGTGGTACAAGCTCAGGGAAAGGGACTGGGGTCAAATCTGGGGAAGGGAGAGCAGGGACAAAATCTGAGAATAAGCCTTCGTACAGGTGCGACAGTGGACGGGGAAAGGTCAATGGAAGAAACAGTGGGAGTGAGGGCGAGGAGGAGCAAGGGGGGAGGAAATTTACTTATGAGAAGGAGCGTTCGCGAGGAAAGGGGAGAGGAGGGAGGGGGTGGGAAGGAGGCAGTGGTGGTTATGGGGAGAGGCGGCAGCAATGGCATGACAGTCAAGATCGGAATGAGGAGGAAGGGGAGGGCGTGGAGGAGGAGGGTGAGGGGGAAGGAGGGAGTATTGATGAGGATAGTAAGGAGTGGAGTGAGTGTGAGGATAGTGAGGTGGAGAACGGGGATGGTGAAGGGAGTGGGGAACTGGTGAGTGGAGATGAGGAGGAGAGTGCACAGCATGCAGTACGCAGAAAGAGCGGAGAGGAACACGAGGAACAGTACAGCTACAGAGGCGGGGACAGAGATGGGTACAGAGATGGGGACAGGAAGAAACAGTCACAAAGGAGCAGTGGTCGGGAGAAGCAGAATGCACGGGGGCTTGAAGAGAGGCGTAATGGAGAAAAGGACAGCATGCACAGCAGGCACAAAGGGGAGGGGGATGAAGTGTATAGAAGAAATGGGGAAGAAGTACCGGAATATGGGAGTGATGTGTACGATAGGGGCTATGGAGACATGGGGGGAGGTGAGGAGGAAGATGGGGGGGGATACAGAAAGGGCCGCTCTAGTAAAGAGAAGTACACCTATCAGGAAGTCGAGAGGGGTGGAGCAAGGAACAGTAGTGCACGCCACTTCCGCACTTCCAGCTGCTTGGACCAGAAGAGTCAGGAGGGCGAGAGAAATGCAGCAAGGGGTGGTGGTAGTGGTAGTAGTGCACGACACTCACGCACTTCCAGCTGGTTGGACCAGAAGAGCCACTCTCACCGGCCTGGGCGATAGCAGCAGTAGCAGCAGTGGCAGGAGAGTGAAGCACCCTCATCAGGAGGGTGAGAGGGGTGGAGGAAGGGATAGAGGTGCACGCCACTTCCGCACTTCCAGCTGGTTGGACCAGAAGAGCCGGTCTCGCTGGCCTGGGCAATAGCGGGGTGAGCAGGAGAGAAGCAGGGCCATCCACTAGCTCCTGTGCTTGCCCCGACTGTCATTAAAACCTATCTTTCCTGTAGCAGCTTCTTGAGGCGTCCATGACTCTCTGGATACGGACGTCACTTCTAACAGGCAAATCTTGAGTTTATGCTGTTGATGCTTGGTGGTGCGCAGGCATGCTCCCAGCATTGTGCATGCACGTGGCCTATTTGTTGTTTGTTGTAAGGATGTGGTATGATAGTGTCTATAAGGGGATCATTCCTGCCCCTGACGCACTGTGCCATTGCAGTGTATATACATATACGGTGTTGATTATACGGTAGCTTGGCTTCTGCTGTGCCTCCTGGTTCCGTAGGGATCTCCAACCTGCGTTGGCAGAAACCAGATATCAACTGTGCAGTGCAATGCATTGCTAGCATACTCACTATCCACAACGTGCTCTCAATGTCGATTCATGTTTCCGTCTAATCTCAGGTTAACCAGTACTACCTGACCATGAGTTCCCTCCCTGGCTTTTGGTTGAGTTGTGTTTCCTGCAGCTAGCAGATTTCAGAGACGCCATGTCTGGGTTTGGATCAATCAGCCACTGCCAGCCAAGTTTCAGTCAGCTGAGCGCACACTTGAAAGGATGGAGCGATGGCCACAACAACCACAAGCCACAAAGGAGACGGTGGTGGTTGGCGTATATCGATATACGGCTCCAATATCATCGTTGTTTTAAGTCATGTCATGTCACCACCATTTTCAGCCAACCGTGAAGATGAACAGAGCCTTTCATAATAATCCAGGACACAATGAGATTAAAGAGGCTTGCATAATGCAACCTGCAATGGTGAGCTCCAGAGAAGCAAGAAAGATGTGTGAAAGCGAATGACATGTTACAGTTACACCACCTGAGAAAATGTAGCGAGACTTTCTTCCTTCAAGGTTATCTACAAGAATTTGGGTAGAGCACCAGCAAGCCAGTGTGGCCGTCATGCCTGAAGGCCTCTCATCAATGCTGCCACGTTGTTAACCTCTGGCGCTGGAGACGCAATGTCTTCCATCCTGTAGAGGACCGGTTGAAAACGACATTAGCACAGCAGATGCTGATTCGCGAGGGCATATTTGACAAAGCACATCAAGAATGTACTATGTATTGCGGAGGGGTTACCTTTGTTTGAGGAGCTGCTGTCTTGTCATGACACTGGTCTGCTGTGTGTGGTGACCCCATGGATGATTGCAGTTGCACACCTAATAATCCAGAACAAGTAGAAACAAAGAAAAGAAGAAGAAGAAAGAGACATGAAACAGTGAAGCACATGTGAAACAGTGAAGCACATGTGAAATAGTGAAGCAAATGTGAGACAGAGCTGGAAGTGGCGATGTTCTCGGTCAGGACAAAACTTCATTCGCTCACTCTTACCCTCCCATGACGATCTGCAGGATAGCAAACTGAACACATTCGTTCATGCATTCAACATGTATGGTCAGCCACACATGTCACACACCTGGTTCCTGTGACCAATCATTCATCACGTACCTCTACCACTACCTTGAGGCATGGATGCATGTGACCGTCATGCTTCATCTGTGCATGCACGCGTAGGCTCACTAACCCATGGGCTATCGAACTTGTCGCATGAGCATTTTGGCCGGATGCATTTGTGCGATGTTGGCTCGTGTTCCACATGCTTATGCTGCATGATATGGACAGAACAAAGGAAACAAGTATAACGGAAAAGAGAAACAAAGAATCTGTAAACTTCGCACGACTGCCGGACCTTGTTGAGGAGCAACTGCACACAGCAAAAAAACATTTGGACAGGGTTTTGATTTTTTTTTTTTTTTTTTTTAGTGAAAATAAAATCAGAAAGGCGTGGACCTTACATATGCAGTAAACGATTTTTTGAGACGGAACACATGGCATAACCCAGAACGCATAGATGCATAGACGCATGAATGAAAGAATCTAGAAAGGTGTGCACCTTGCATCTGCAACGAAGGATCCAGACGCCTTGAGCTGGAATGAAGAAGAAACTCTCGCACGCACATTTGGCTCGTCCGCAGACCAACTGAAATTCACCACAATGCGAAGACGACGACGACGACGAGCCTGAATGCGAATCGCTCGGCGGTCCAGGCAGGGAGTCCGTAACTTGCATTTCCGGGTTTTCCGACGGCCATGAGTCGGTCGATTTGTCCGCAGTTATTGTTTCAGAAGAGTTTTGCTGAGTAGGAGGCGGTTTCAGGCGATGCTCTCGAAGCCTGTGGCCGCAGATACATTGGGATTCGTCTCGTACTGGTAGACAGCTGCGGTCGCAATCTGAGGTTGACAATGAGGAATGTTGGGACGGAGGGAGTCACATGATGGTGGTTGGTAGCCACGCTGATAAAAAAATCACATCTGCATAAAATAAATAAAAGTGGACAGGCTAAAATAATAATATCATTAAAAGATCAGAAGCACCCACGGTCAGTTCTAGGTGAGTGGAAGGCATACCACGGCAAGTCCACGTGACCTTAGCTCTGAGGTCGGCAGAGGGGTCCTTGCCATCCTTGCTTCCTGGCTCAATGGCTGGAGACTTCTCTAAAGATTCTACATGGCAATGAGGATTATTAGCTTCTGTCCCTATTGGTCCGGCTAACTCGTGTGCTTGATCAGTCGAGACCATGACGCTGATTAGCCAAGAAACGGAGATTCAGCACGCGGTGCTTATCGACGTCTCGGCTTAGCGTGCCGAGTCGTGTTACTTCTCCCAGTGGTTGCTGCCGGAACACGAATGAATGCAGGACTTTTCCGCAAAGCACTGGGGAGTGCTGCACTGTCAGACAGTTCGAGAGGAAATGCCTTGGGAACTCCAACGAAGACACGGAGTGACCAGGATTTGCTTGGGAGCACCGAGTTCACTGAACGGACATCTGAATGTCGCGGTTTGTCAGAAGCTCTTCTAGCGGATTTGGTAACAAAACATCACCGCTGTTTCGTGAAACCCCATAATCACAATCCGATCGATCTATAGAACTAACTTTGAAACTGGACAAAATGACAATGAATAAAAAAAGCAGCTAACGTCTAAGGCCCGTCCAAGCTGGATTTATTTACCTTCTATACCCAGACCCATCCGTTGAGACTCGGTCACCATACCCACGATGACTAGGCTCATGACGACCACCAGCACCGCCCCCCCTCCAATCCGCCCTTGCAGCAGCACCAGACCTCCAATCCCCCCCGCCAGCACCACCTCCCCTCCAATCCCCCCCACCACCTCCTGACATCCATCGGTCGCCATCATCAATCACCCTACCTGCAACAGCACCACCACCAGCTGACATGATGCCACCAAACGATCCCATCGCACATAGCGGACCACCAGGAACACCACCAACAGCACCAGCAACACCACCAAAACCACCAGCACCAGCACCAGCACCAGCACCAGCACCAGCACCAGCACCAGCGGCAGCAGCAGAGTTTTTTTCTGCATTTTCCGTCTCCCGCACGGCTGCTCTCCCTGCTTGCTCCAGCAGCCTTACGGCACACCCCACCACTCGCCTCTCATTGGCCGGCCGCGGCCCTCCCGCCACCCACCTCCCCAGAATCGAATCCAGCACCGCCCGCAGCTGCACCAGCAGCTCTCCCACGTGCCGATCCACCACAAACTCGATCCAACGGTCCACAACAAGCAGAACCGGCTGAGACGCCAGCGAGGAGGACCCAAACCCATAGGCGCCAGCAGCAGCAGCACCGTATGGATTCCCAGAGGGAAAAGCCCCTCCCAGGGGTAGAAACGGAGATGGGGCAGGGGCAAGCTGGATAGGACCTCCAAAGAGGACGATAGAGAGAGCAGGGATGAGCGTGCAGCCACGAATAAACACCTGAGAGGTCTGCACACGCTCGTTAAACGTCAGAAAATGCACTCCCCCATCGTCCAACGCCTTGCCCTGCTGCGGGATCACCCCAGTCGGGTGGATCCACACCCGACCCTCGGAGGTTCGGAACCCGAACCTCAGCCGGACCTTCTGCTTCCCGCCGCTGCTGCTGCCGGAACCGGCGCCGCCCCGGGCTTCCGGGAGCATGTCCGAGCGGGCTACATGGGGAGACAGACCCGCAACCAGCACTGAGCGAGCGATAAAGAGCGATGACTCGTCGGTGTCATCGATGTGCGGTTCAGATGCAGCAGCATTGGCTCTGTCGGGACCCGGCGGGTAATCTCGGCCGTCCATCTGCTCGTCCATGCGCTCATCTGCCACTCGCACATCCCATTTTGACCTGTGCCGCCGACCCTCACTCTCCCGCTCCCCCTCCCCCTCCCTCTCCCTCTCCCTCTCCTTCTCCCTTTCGCGATCCCGATCCCTATCCCTGTCGCTGTCCCTTCCCCTATCCCTGTCTCTGTCTCTCTCCCTGTCCCTTACCCCATCCCTGTCTCTATCTCTATCCCGCTCTCTCTCCCTGTCCCTATCTCTCACGCTGTCCCTATCCCTGTCCCTGTCCCTATCTCTCTCCCTGTCTCTCTCCCTCTCCCTGTCCCGATCCGAGCCTCTGTCCTCCTTGTCCCTCCAGCTCTCTCTGCTACCAGCAGCAGCACCCCTGGAATCACTCAGTTGTGTGGAGCCGGTGCGAGCATCGATGCGAGTCACGTGACGGATATCAGGCCTACCACTCAGTGAAGATAACCCACCACCGACACCACCACCAGCACCGTCACCACCCTCACCACCAACACCACTGCCAGACCCCCCTTCCACCCCTCGTCCTCCTCCAACCCCTGTCTCCTTCCTCTGCCCCACCATCCCCCTTGCACCAGCTCCCTGCGCCTGAGCCTGAGCCTTAGGCGGCAGATCAGCATCAAGAGACTCTCCTAATTGGGCCAGCCCAGCCCCCCACAACATCCTCTCAATCTGCATTTTCAGCCCCAGCATAAGCCGCATCCCGGACGGCGCTAAGAAATTCTCATCACAATACCCCATCGCCCGCCCCTCTGCGTTTGCTCTCATCCACCCCTCATGCGCCATCACCACAGCTAGATGATCGCTCCCGGCCGCCGAGCCTGTCGCGAAGGCTCGGCGCGCAGCGTCGGCGGCGTTGCGGTTCGTAATGGGGGAGAGGAACGGGTCGCGAGAGAGGGAAGCAGCCGCAGCGACGGAGAGGAGGGGAGAGAGGCAGTGCAGAAGGGACCCATACACCAACATCTTGCCGATTCGAGGGTGCACAGCGAGCCGGCTGAGGGTCGATCCAAGGGCTGTGAGCTCTTCTTCTTCATCCAGCGCGCCTAGCCTCTGGAGATTCTCGATGGCGTGGCGAACGGCAAAGGGATCGGGGGGAGAGAGGGCCTTGGCGAGAAAGAGACCGATGTTGGTGCTGCGATGGGCGGTGGCGGAGGAAGGGTAGGAGGAGGAGGGGTAGGAGGAGGAGGGATGGGCAGTGACGGCTGCTGCGAGGGGAAGGGGCTTGATCTGCAAGCAGATTTCCTCGAGAGGTACGCGCTGCATCTCAGGGACAGAGTTGGGCGCCATGGCCTCGTACACCTGCGTTTGGGGTAGAAATCCATGGGATCGATGCGGATCACTGGTGACATGGCCTCGTACATGAATCGACAGCCTTTGAGGCAAGCAGAGAGTGCTTGGAAGCAGAACACTCTTGGAAGAAGAGAACACTTGGAAGCAGGAGGAACGATGTGGTCTCACTGTGCGAGTGAAGAGGCGGAAGCATTTCCCCGGGCGCACGCGACCAGCTCGACCCTGCCTCTGCTTCACACTCGCCTTGGACGCCCACTGTAGGGCGGGGGAGGACACAGGTCGCACGAAACAGGCGGGACAAACAATGGTGAAATTTTATATTTACCCTTGGCTTTGGACAACCACTCCAGGACAAGACAAAAAAGCAGAGGGAAAGCTGCATGGGAGATTCTTCATAGAGAGATCACCTGCACGCGCATGGAGGAGATGTTCCTGGCGGGCTCGAAGTACTTCTCCTTGGACTTGCCTCATGTGGGCAAGTGCTCGCCCTACCTGCAAGAATTGTGAGTACTGCCCTGCGGACTGCAGGCCCTGCCATTGCTGCCTCACCTGCACGCGCATGGAGGAGATGTTCCTTGCGGGCTCGAAGTACTTCTCCTTGGACTTGCCGCCATCCACCACAAACACCACGTCGTCTATCGTCACACTCGTCTCCGCTATGTTGGTCGATAGAATCACCTGCAGAGGAAGAGGAGGAGGAGGAGGAGGAGGAGGAGGAGGAGGAGGAGGAGGAGGAGGAGGAGGAGGAGGAGGAGGAGGAGGAGGAGGAGGAGGAGGAGGAGGAGGAGGAGGAGGAGGAGGAGGAGGAGGAGGAGGAGGAGGGGGGGGGGGGAGGAGGAGGAGGAGGAGGAGGAGGAGGAGGAGGAGAGGGGGGGAGGAGGAGGAGGAGGAGGAGGAGGAGGAGGAGGAGGAGGAGGAGGAGGAGGAGGAGGAGGAGGAGGAGGAGGAGGGGGGGGGGGGGGAGGAGGAGGAGGAGGAGGAGGAGGAGGAGGAGGAGGAGGAGGAGGAGGAGGAGGAGGAGGAGGGGGGGGGGGGGGGGAGGAGGAGGAGGAGGAGGGGGGGGGGAGGAGGAGGAGGAGGAGGAGGAGGAGGAGGAGGAGGAGGAGGAGGAGGAGGAGGAGGAGGAGGAGGAGGAGGAGGAGGAGGAGGAGGAGGAGGAGGAAGAGGTGGAGGAGGAGGAGGAGGAGGAGGAGGAGGAGGAGGAGGAGGAGGAGGAGGAGGAGGAGGAGGAGGAGGAGGAGGAGGAGGAGGAGGAGGAGGAGGAGGAGGAGGAGGAGGAGGGAGCAGGAGGTGAGACGCAGAGATTTCAAGGTGGAGAGACTGAGAGATGAAGGGATGGAACATTTGATCGAACGAAAATACAAAGGTTACCAGCCGGACAACTCTTTACAGCCATCACTATCTCTTTCACCGCTATCACCGTCCGTCACATTCAACATCACGCTTTGCTGCTGTCATGCCTATCTCACCTTGCGCTTCCCATCTGGAGGGCGGTCAAAGGCTGCTCTCTGCTCCGCTGGTGGCACCTGCATGGCGTTCAGAGGCATTCAGAGGGGTTCAGAGGTATTCCAAGCTTCTCAAGATGGGCACAAAAAAACCTTAACAAAAAATGAAGGCAAAATGAGCTGCTGACACATGAGCTAGGTGGCACACGAGCTAGGTGGCACACGAGCTAGGTGGCACACGAGCTAGGTGGCACACGAGCTAGGTGGCACACGAGCTAGGTGGCACACGAGCTAGGTGGCACACGAGCTAGGTGGCACACGAGCTAGGTGGCACACGATAGACAGGGACGCCAGGGCCCATGAAGGTGGAAAGGCACGATGTGAGTCACCTGGGAGTGCAGCATCACAATGTGGAAGCGGTACGATCCCGGAAGGAACTGCAGCTGGCGCTTGGCTTCGGCTATCGTGTCCCACCCCTGCACACGCGGACAGAAGTCACATTGTGCCATGGCATGGCGAGGCAAGATGAGACGTGCACATGATATCGCTGTAGTCGCCAGTCGCTTTCGCTTTGGCAGACTGGCCAGTGTGGACTCTCATGCCCCGCCTCATCCACTCGCAGCACCAAGAAACATTCCCACCAAAGAGACGGCTCTTTGGTCTACCGATTCAGGTCCCTCGGGATTACTCAGCGACAGGAAGCAGAGGATCGACCCATCCTCCCTCTCATACTCATCATCCACCCACACCACACCACCCATGCTATCAGGGAACTTATGCATTAGGGATGCTTCACTTTTAAAATGAAGCTCTCCCAGACAGCAAGCCTCTCAGCAACATTACTCACAGGCAGGAAGCAGAGAATCGACCCGTCCTCCCTCGCACACTCATCATCCACCCACGCCACCAGGGAGGGAGGAAGAGGAAAGCACTATCACATACATCAAGGAACGAAAGGCAACATTACTCACAGGCAGGAAGCAGAGAATCGACCCATCTTCCCTTGCATACTCATCATCCACCCACGCCACGACCCTCGCTGCCAGCTCAGCATCGAGCTCGTCCTCGTCAGCGCACCCGTACTTGGGGTGCAGCGATTGGCGCAGCACTGATGGCACGTGGCGGCCCATGAGGGAAGGGAGGTCGTCCAGAGAGTAGACTGAGACCGGGTGGATGAACCCGGGGATTGCGAGCATGGGGCAGTGGTGGAAGTAGCTGGGTGGGGAGGGGGGGGGGAGGGCGCGGGAAGGAACAGGGGAGGCACAACGAAGGAAAAGGAAATAAGTTAGGAACAAGCAAGAAGGGTTAAGAGGAGTGGAAGGGAGGAGAAGGAGGTTGGTTGGCCATGAGGGATGGTAGATCGTCCAGAGAATAGACCGAGCATGGGGCAGTGGTGGAAGTAGCTGGGGTTGGGGAGAATGGGGGAGAGGGGGGAGAGGAGATGGGGAAACAGCGAAGGGGAAGGGGAGGGGAAAGAAAGGGGTTGAAAATGTGCAGGAGGGGTTCGGAGGAGTGGATGGATACGGCAGAGGGAGCATGGCGGGACGGGCCATGAAGGGGAGTGCGTGGCGCAGCAGGTAGGGCACGTGGCGGCCCATGATGGGATGGTAGATTGGTGAGGGAGTGGACTGAGACGGGTTGGATGAAGCCAGGGATGGCGAGCATAGGGCAGTGGTGGAAGTAGCTGGGTGGGGAGTGGGGCAACGGCGAAGGGGGAGGGAAGGGGGAAACGAGACAGAAAAGAGGGGAAGAGGAGGGCGTTGTGGTTTTACGCGCAGGACAATCGAATGGGAGGAGACGACGAGGTGAGAGAGGAGAGGCACAAGCAAGTGGGAGTCAGTGCATATCGAGCTTGAGAAGCATGGAGGAGGGACCGCAAAGAGAACAAGAGAGGACAGGGGAGCCGACCAACTGGAGAGGGAACGAAGGGGGCACGATGAGATAAGGGTGACATCATACAGGTTATAGAGGGAAGGGAGGGGCGAAAAGGGTGGATGCAACTCCACAAAGACAACCACCATGACTACAAGAAAAACAACCGCGATGGGAACGATGCAGCGTACTGCCATGCCACCAGGTTTTGAGGCGCAGCACAAGAGACACGTTATGCCGTACCACCAGCTCGCTCACTCGTCTCGACCGACCCCGATCGGCCGGTTTACGGAGACCGGACAGACGTTGCAGCAGCCACCTCCTTCCTCTCATCCTTCTCCTTGACTTGTGAGGCTCAGCAGCAGCAGCAGCAGGTAGTATTGGCAGCAGCAAGGAGCAGCAAAAGCTGTTCACCAGTAAAGAAACAGCAATGGCAACCCCGGCTGCCACTGCCACTGCCACTGCTGCTGAGCCTCTCACTGGCAGGCCCGCTGGGAGCAGATGAGAGGAAGGAGGCTGCTGCCGACACGATCGAAATCGAGAAAGGACGAGTGAGCGAGCTGGTGTCACGCAGGGGGGGAGGAAAAGGGGGGGTAGGAGAAAGCTTACGAAGCTGACTGGAGCAAGCAAAACTGTAGTATGTTTAAGGAGGAAGCAGCGAGGGAGGGAACTGGACAACCAAGGAAGAACCCTCCTTGAAGCAGCACACATGGCTTCCAAGTTTGACCCATTTGGCATCAATTGCCCCATTTCTCCACTCCAATTCCCCTTCTTGCCCAGCCCTCGTCTGTGCATACGCCTTGGCTCTTAATTATTTCAAACTGTGGAGACTGGGAGAGAGCGAAAATGTGATTCAAGTACATATTGGTGGAGCGTAGGAGAGTGCTTGGTACAGAATTACCACGGTTGACAGTGACGATGATGACGATCACATGAATGCTGTGGTGTGCGGTTTTGAGGCCCCTCAGTTTTGAGGCGCCTCAAAACTTGACGATAATGACGATCACATGAATGCGGTGGTGTGCGGCGGGGAGGCATGCTCTTGGCTTCGAGGTGTCCTAGGTTTTGCCCTTCTCCACTTTCCTCAATTTCAACCACCAACTCAACCTTCACCAGACTGTCCTCCACTCATGATGTGCACTCTCCCTGGCTTGTCATATCCCATCAGCCTGCTGCATGTTGGCTCGCCACCAACTCATAAACGCCTATTGTGTGCACTCGTTTTGACTTGGTGTGTATTCCGTCAGTGTGTTGGCGACACGGACTTGGCTTGGCCTAATGTGCTTCGCTGATACCTGGTGACACACGATTGACCAATGATAGGCGGCCAAACGGGTCATGCAGTGCAGTACCCTGTCTGCGATGCGATTACCAGATTTAGGGCTATGCCCTCTCGCATTGAGTTGAATTTTGAGGCGCCTCATAATTCGACTACCAGATTCAGGGCTATGCCCTCTCATTTTTTTATAACGCGCCTTCCCCTGCCCTGCATGGGTACAGTGAACCGTTCTGGGTAGACACCAAAATAGATTGTGCATTTGCAGCATCTGAACATGCCTACGTGTATGCGTACACAATTAGCAAGTCATGTCGCATCCACATGCATATTGCTAGCAGGTAGCATCACGTACCTCAAGCTCGCTCTCGCTGACCTAACAATGGCAGGGGTGACCGGCGAAGAAAGAGGGCAATGACAACTCACGAGGTGAAGAGATGAGCATAGCTGGTGGCGCTCATGATGACCACACCACACGGATACGGGAGTGCACGGCGGGGGTTGAAAGCATCCGCTAAGCTCTCTCCACCCTTACACAATGGCAACTTGCGAAGAAAAGAGGCAATGGTAAGTAACTCACGAGGTGAAGAGATCGGCATCGATGGTGGCGCTCATAATGACCACGCGGATACGGGAGGGCACGGTGGGGGAGGAGAGCATCTGCTTGAGCACGATGAGGAGGAAGTCGGTGTCCATGTCCCTCTCATGCACCTCGTCCACTATCACATGGCTCACCCCCTCCATGCCCTCTGGACTCTGTGAAACGATGCCAGGGAAAAGGGACGAGGGGGATGGAAGGGCGGGGTGGGGAAGGGGGGGGGGGGGGGGGGGGGGAGGAGAAGGGATGGAAACAATGGAAATCAAATTGGTGGATGAGGCACGAAAAGATGCAACCGGGTGTCGGCGGGCACGGTGGGGAAGGAGAGCATCTGCTTGAGCACGATGAGGAGGAAGTCGGTGTCCATGTCCCTCTCATGCACCTCGTCCACTATCACATGGCTCACCCCCTCCATGCCCTCTCGGCTCTGGGGAATGGTGACAACGGGAGGTTGGGAGGGTGGGAAGGGGGAGGGGTATGGGGGAAGGAGTGATAAAAATGAAGGGCCACACCTCCTCCACTATCACATGGCTCACATCCTCCATGCCCTCCGGGCTCTGGGGAGAATATAAATAACGAGGGTGATGGAAGATATGGGAAAGATGGGAATGAGATGGTGGGGTGCGTGGAAACAAAGAAAGGCGGATGAGGCAACATAGGGAAACAAGGCAAGGGCACCCAAAGCAGGACAATGTGCGTATCGCCCTCGTGTTGCGGATGTGATAATACTACTCATGCACCGTGTCGCATTATTCCATAGAACTGAAATTGTTATATGGAATATTGTAACAGCGCGAAGAGTGTAGAGAGCTGTGGTTGTGGCTAAGGTTGGAGACCGCGAGGAAACCGAGGACTCAGGGTACAGCTCGAGGCAGGGCTCGAAAGGGGGTAAGTACGGTTGGATGGGGGCCACAATGACGTGGCGGCGGGGCATGACAAGCTGAGTTGGGAGTTGGGGAGAGGGCCAGCTAAGCAAGGCAGGTCACGAGGGAAACCCCAAGGCGCCCTCACGGCGGAGAAAACCAAGAAAGGTTTGACAGGTTGTCTCATGCACAGTTGGAGGTGCTCCTAGTGCGATTCGGGGAGGGGAACAACAAAACTCGTAGAGTAACAGAGCTAAACCACTTCTGTTTGTTCTCTCGCTACTGTGGTATGCCTGTATGCTCTTCTACTAGTGAATCGGCTGGAGCAAATCTTGATCCACTAAAGAGAGGCCAAACAGAGGGTGTGCGGAGAACTAGGGACATCGTTTGTCCTAGTGCGGATCTCTTACAAACAGAAGTCTAAATGACCGGAATGTCGTTGCGGAGCGGCACCCGGTTGCCAGGGGAAGAGAATTCCCGAGAGAAGGAAGATCGCGCGGCCGAGAAAGCCAGCGCGGGACCGGCGGAGCCCGAAGCCGAGGAAGAAGAGAATCGGGGAGAGCCGAGCCACCCGGAGCAGGGAGATCGGCGATCGCGTGACGAAGAGAAGCGGCGCGAGGAGGAGTTCGCGATGAGAGCGGATCGACCGCTCAGAGGAGAACGGCGCTCGCCGAGGAAAACCTTGGAAGGTGCGAACTCGGCGGAAGTGACAACGCCGAAGGCGCGATCATCTAATTGGCGTGTGCCGGGAGAGGAAGGATCTTCGGGAGCCGAGATCGGAGAAGGATCAGCAGGGCGCGCGTCGAGGAGGACGTTGGGAGAAGAGGGTAGCAGATACCGCTACACGAGCTTACCTAAGGTGGAGGTACCTGCACGCTTCACCGGTGATCAAGAATCGGGGCCCAGGCTGAAAACCTACGCGATGCATGTGCGCAGCGAGAAATACTGCTGGGAACTGGACGGGCTGGATCTACGTCACTTCTTCCGCTCGCTGGGCAACACGCTAGCGGGAGAGGCGGAGGCCTTCTTCCTGGAAATTCGGGATCTGCTCCTCGAAGAGGAGGAGAGGGACAAGCTGGGCAGAGTTAGGCGAGATGCAGAGGGACGCGTCATTCGACTGGAAGACCCCACGGAAAGGTTCCTGGAAGAATTGCAGACTCACTTCCCGACCCAGACGCCGGCGAGGTTGAGGGAGTTTGAGCAGGTGAGGCGAGGGCATCGAGAATCGCTGCTGGCGTACTACCGGAGGGTGAAGCAGTTGGCGGAAGACATCAGCTGTCACGATCCGCGTATCGTGGTGGCGAAATTCCTGGATGGGCTCTCGGGAGAGCTGGCGCGTACTGTGAGGGATAGAACCTACGATCTGGGGCCGAACGCGTCACTCCGGCAGGCGTACGAGATTGCTTGGCGACACGAGCAGTCACTCAGTCTTTATGACCTGGGAAGACGGACAGACAGGGGACCTCGGGACAAAGAGAGAAGGCCAGTGACATGGAGTGGGGCCTTGCTGGCCGAAGGTGAGGAAGAAGAGCCGGACAAGGCGAGGGAGCGCAGAGGACAAGTCAGACGGGCCAGGAATCCTACTGCGGCCGCCGGAGAAGAACCAGTGTGCTACAAATGCCACGAGCCTGGCCACTTCAAGAGAGACTGTCCCAAGGTCCAGACGTGCTCATATTGCCAGCGGAAAGGACATAACAAGGAAAGCTGTTATACTCGTCAGAGAGAAGAGCGGCACAAGGGAGGGAGGCGCAGTCGGATAGCAGCTCTGGAGGAAGAGCTGAGGAAGCTGAAGGCTGAGGAGGTGTCCAGCGGTGAAGAAGAGGAAGCCACCGGGTTGATGGCCAGAGGACAGAGTGAGTCGGAGGATGACCTGGAGGAGCCAATATTCATGGCGAGGGATGCAGACCGGGCAAGGGAGGAGCTGGGCCTGAGAAGCGAAGGGAGGGATAACAGAAGCTCTACCCCGATAGCAAGACGTGGCCCGAGAGCAAGCGTAGAACGCTCGGTAGAAAGAGCAGAAGGAGTGGTGACAGCAGCAACAGCGGCAGGAGAGGTCGGGCCCCGACGTCACCCGTTCGAGAGGTTGGCGGCACGTCCCTGCGTAGTAGAGGCATTGGAGGGGACGGTGGCAGTGGAAGGAAAATACCCAGGAACGACAATCATCGATACAGGAGCATCGCAAGTCTTGGTGGGGAGAAGGATGGCTGAACGGCTGGGGTTGCACCAGGAAGACAAGGTGACCAGGGAAGGTGTAAGGATACAGACTGCAGAAGGAGGAGGAGGGAAGTGGCTACCTAGGTCCTTGAAACCTCAGGAGGTGGTGCTGTCCCCAGGGAGCGAGAACGAAACAAGGATCAGGGTGCACTGCCTCATCTCGGACTCGGAGGACTACGACTTACTGCTAGGTATGGAACTGCAGTACAAAGTGGGGGCCGTGGTAGACACCTGGACCGAGAAGGTGACTTACCAGCCGCTATATTGGGATCCCGAAGCAAGGAAGGAAGAGCACCTAGCAGCGAGTCTGCCAGCACGATTCCTGAGGGGAAAAGTGGCCTACCAGGAGCCGTCACCGGAGAGGGTGCCAGAGTGGAACTACGAGGACTGCGGGGTGTTCCTGGAAAAGACCAAACAAAGGAAAGAGGTGGAAGAGGCAGCCGGGGAGAGAGTGGGAGAGCTCCGGGAGGCAAGAGGGTTAGCAGAGCCTACTTATGACTTCGAGACCTTCCACAAGCCGGTGACTCTGTTGGAGCTATTTGGAGGCATAGGCCCGGGACTGGCAGCCACAGTTCGGACCAGACTAACTATCAAGCGATGGGTGTACATCGAAAAAGAGGCAGAAAAGCGCCGCATGGCATACCACCACGCGAGAATGCTACACCAACACTACCCCGAGAGATTGCCGCTGGCGGTGATAGAGCGGGCAGAGGTGGAAGCGGAAGGCCTGGCAGAAGTGGAGATGGTAGATGAAGGAGTGGTGGAAACATGGGGAGACATAGACTTAATGGTGGCGGGATGGGAGTGCCAGGGCCTGTCAAGGGCAGGCCAAGGAAGGGGAATGACGGATGCACGCACGGGACTGTTCCAGGAAATGATCAGGATTATGAAATTAATCAAGAGGCGGCAGGGACCATTCGCGTACATAGTGGAGAACCTGGACGTGGCGGAGGACGAGAGGGCCCTAGTCCGAGAAGCTCACAAGGCGGTGACCAGAGAGCTGGGACATGGGGTAGCGTGGGATGCTGCTCAGATGGGGGCCAGGGCACATCGGGTGAGGCGGGTATTGGCAGAACCTAGTGCCCGAGCCAGTGTTAAGGGACCAGCTGGGGAGAATGCAGAGGCCGATGCCACGACTGGTCCAGGAGATTCTGGAGCCGGGGAGGAGGCCCGCCCCAGTCACGTCGCCAGATTGCAAGCTGCAGTACCCATGCAATGAGGTGGGGGCACCCAGACAGGCGTGGCCCACTTTGGTGGCCTCTCCAGGCAGCTATGCTTTCCAGAAAGAAGGAGATCAGCCGGGACCGGGGATGGTACAGGTAATAGAGACGGGAGAATGGGAGGAACCGCTGGCGGTAGAAAGAGAAAGAGCTATGGGGTATCTACGGAACGCCACAGCGGCAGAAGGAGTCTCAGAAGAGGCTCGCAGGAGAGCTCTGGGAGGAGCGATTGACCAACATGCGCTGGTGTGGCTGCTATACCGCGCAGAGAAGAGGCAGGAGGTGATGAGGGCTCAACTCTTGATGCACTGGAGGTGGGCAGACATCATGGAGATGACCGAGGGCGAACCAGAAAAGGCGCAGGAGCTAGCGGCTGAATGGAGAAGGATGAGGGCTGATCAGCTGGCGCGCGGAGAGTGGCAGGAAGAAAAGGAGACGGAAGAAATAGCAAGCTGGACCATTGGCGAGGCCCTGAGTCAGGAGCAGAAAGAAAAGCTGAGACGGGTCTTGCCCAAAGCAAGGGGAGCATTTGCATACTCACTGAAGGAGTTGGGGAAATGCAATCGAGCAGAGATGGAGATAGAACTCCAGACTGAGGTGCCGGTCTATCAGAGAAGGAGAAGAATGAGCCCCGGGGACAGGGATGTGGCAGCAGAAAAATGTCAGGAGCTTCTGGAGGCGGGATTGATCAGAGAGTCCACGTCAGAATACGCAGCGGCGACCGTAGTGGCAGCCAGGAAAGACCTCACAGGAGAGACCTTGGCCCGCAGAATGTGTGGGGATTATAGGGGCTTGAACCAAGTGACGAAGAGTGACAGGTACCCCATGCCAATAACTGAGGAGATCTTCGACAAGCTGTCGAAGGGCCGAGTGTACTCAACGCTGGATCTACGGCAAGGGTTCAATCAAATTCCAATAAAGGAGGAAGACAAGAAGAAGACTGCGTTTCATGGACCCGACCGTCTCTATGAGTGGAATTACATGCCGTTCGGCTTGAAAAACGCGTCGGCAAAATTCCAACGGGTCATGGACCAAGTGTTACAAGGGCTGACCTGTGCACTGTGCTACATTGACGACGTGGTGATCTACAGCGAGGATGCAGAGAGACACATTCAAGACGTGGCTGACACCCTGGCAGCCATCCAAGCTGCGGGACTAACATGTCACCCAGGGAAGTGTACATTTGGAGTGACAACAGTGGCTTATCTGGGGTTTCAAGTGGGAGAAGGAGGTCTGTCCGTGCAGCAGGCCAAAGTGGAAGTGGTGGACAGGTTGAGAGCGCCGACGGACCGAAGCACGCTCAGGGCCCAGCTCGGGTTCTTGAGTTATTACCGGAAGTTCATACCGAACTTCAGCAAAACAGCAAGGCCCCTCAATATGCTCTTGAGGGAAGATCAAGGATGGGAATGGGGGGAAGAACAGGAAGGAGCATGGAGAGTCCTGAAGGAAGCGGTAAAGACAGCACCCATGCTGAAATTGCCGGACCCCGAGGAGCCATTCACCTTGTATACTGACTGGAGCAGCAGCGGGCTGGGGGCAGTCCACTGCCAGAAGGAAAGAGGCACGGAAAGAGTGGTGGCATACGCGAGCCGGTCCTGCAGTCCTGCCGAAAGCAATTACAGCTCGTATGAAGGAGAGGGGCTGGCAGCAGTCTGGGCGGTGGAGCTGTTCAGAGCGTACTTGCAGGGACACAAGTTCACTCTCGTTACGGATCATCAACCTCGGTTATGGTTGATGAGGAACCAAACGCTGAAGGGCCGTAACGCAAGGTGGGCGATGAGGCTCCAGGAATTCGAATTCGAGGTGAAGCACAGGCCGGGCAAGACGTTGCAGCATGTAGATGGGCTGTCTAGGCAAGGAGCAGAAGAGAGAAGGGAGAACCAGAGGAGCTCGGAAGCGGGACTAGCCTGCCTGGCCGTAGCAGCGGAACGGGAAGGCTGGAGGAGGAGGACAGAAACGGATAAAGGCAACAAGGAGATCTGGCTGGATGAGCCGGGTACTACGATGGGTGAAAGGCCTGGGGGCAGAGGGAGAAGAGGTGCCAGAGCGAGTACGAGCCCGAGGGATTCACTACCGCTGGCAGGACGAACAGCTACAACTGTTGACAGAGGACGGGTGGAGAATCGTACCCAAACCCGAGGAGAGGCAAGAGCTGATCCAGAAAGTGCACACCCGCTTGGGGCACTTCGCCGTGGAAAGGACGGTACAACTATTGCAGACAATGTACTGGTGGGTGGGCCTCAGGAGAGAGGTGAAGGAACGCTTAGAGAAATGTGAACCATGCAGCAGGAACCGGGCGACGATGGAGAAGGCCAAAGCGGAGCTGCACTCGCTGCCGATTGGAGGCATCGGGTACAGGTGGTCTCTAGATATTGCAGGAGAGCTGCCTCTGTCCAGGAGAGGTAAGCAGTACATTTTGGTGATGATAGAGCATACCAGTAAATGGGTGGAGGTAGCCACGCTGGTGCGGAAATCAGCAGCAGCAGTTGCAGAAGCGTTTGTGCAACAAGTACTCACGAGGTTCGGGGCGTGTGGAGAGGTCCTCACAGACCAGGGCAGCGAATTCGCGGGGGAATTTGACAAGATGCTGAAGGAGGTGGGGATCACACATCGCAGAACGTCCAGGTATCATCCACAATCAGATGGCCTGACGGAGCGTATGGTGCAGACCATAAAAAGGGGGTTGAGGAAATACTGTGAAGAGGAAGAGAAGAGGGACTGGGACGTCAAACTCCCATGGGTAGTGGCGGGGTACCGATTCAGCAAGCAACAGGCGCTGAAGGATTACTCGCCGTACTACTTGCTCTTTGGGAAGGAACCGATCTTACCGGTGGATGCCCCCAGGATAATGGTGGAGTCAATGTCAGTAGAGGACCCGGCAAAGTGGGCAGCGGTAGCAGCAGCCAGGGCCAGCTATCTGAGGACCGCAATGCCGGCGGCTTGGGAGAATTTGGAAGTGGCGCAGATCAGAGATGCCCGGCGCTACAGGCAGAGAAGGATGGAGGTCGGTGCTAATGCAAAAGGGGCTAGGGTGATAAACGTAGGAGACGAAGTGTATCTGAGGCAGCAGAGGCGAGACACCTTAGAATGCGGGTTGAGTCGGGAACGATGGAAGGTGAGGTCGAGGAAGGACTCAGGAGTGGTGATACTGGAGGGAGGGACAGGCAGAGTGATCCAAGATCACATCTCGAATGTTGCAAGGGCAGGCTCGTCACGACATGCCAGCGGGGACGCCAGGCAGGCCGTGAGGGGGCAGGAGAGTATGGTGCAACCACTGATTACGTACCAACGGAGGAAGGACAAGAGGATGGGAGATAGACCTGGAGCGTCAGCAGGGTACTAAGGCTGAGGAGAAGAGAGTGAGCCGCCGGAGGGGAGAGGACAGTGCGACAGCTGTCGCATTATTCCATAGAACTGAAATTGTTATATGGAATATTGTAACAGCGCGAAGAGTGTAGAGAGCTGTGGTTGTGGCTAAGGTTGGAGACCGCGAGGAAACCGAGGACTCAGGGTACAGCTCGAGGCAGGGCTCGAAAGGGGGTAAGTACGGTTGGATGGGGGCCACAATGACGTGGCGGCGGGGCATGACAAGCTGAGTTGGGAGTTGGGGAGAGGGCCAGCTAAGCAAGGCAGGTCACGAGGGAAACCCCAAGGCGCCCTCACGGCGGAGAAAACCAAGAAAGGTTTGACAGGTTGTCTCATGCACAGTTGGAGGTGCTCCTAGTGCGATTCGGGGAGGGGAACAACAAAACTCGTAGAGTAACAGAGCTAAACCACTTCTGTTTGTTCTCTCGCTACTGTGGTATGCCTGTATGCTCTTCTACTAGTGAATCGGCTGGAGCAAATCTTGATCCACTAAAGAGAGGCCAAACAGAGGGTGTGCGGAGAACTAGGGACATCGTTTGTCCTAGTGGGGGCAGGAGAGTATGGTGCAACCACTGATTACGTACCAACGGAGGAAGGACAAGAGGATGGGAGATAGACCTGGAGCGTCAGCAGGGTACTAAGGCTGAGGAGAAGAGAGTGAGCCGCCGGAGGGGAGAGGACAGTGCGACAACCGTATACACGGATGTGGGTGCGTATACAGGGTAGGGTAGCAGCAATCAGTCCGCAACCCACACCCTTGCCACTGAAGGGAGACTAGCCAGCGCAGCTCACGCTCACACGCACACTCCTGCAGTCGCCTGAGCAGGACGCCGACAGTGCAGAAGAGAATGCCGGCTCTGACCCTGGCTACTCACATTACATCCACCAAGCACCGACCATACCCTTACTGCTGGAGACTATTCAATCAGCAACAGCCAATGCCCCACACGCAAACACACCTGCAGTCGCCTCAGCAGGACATGCAAACACACCTGCAGAAGAGAATGCCGGCTCTGGCCCTGGCTTTTCACATTACATCTAATAAGCATAGACCATACACTCACTGCCACGTGATAAAAGAGCTGTTTTGAGAGGTCTCATATCAGAACAACACTTGTATCGTGTGGCTCCACTCCACTGGCTACTCACATTCATCTAACAAGCACAGACCATACCTTCACTAGTGACAACTGTTCAACCAGCACAGCACAGTCAATGCCCCCCACACAAACACACCTGCATTCGCCTCAGCAGGATGCCGACAGTACAGAACAGGATGCTGCCTCTGGCCCTGGGCGGGTTGCTGTCCAGCCGAATGCGGTACCCCACACTGTCGCCCAACGCCTCGCCCCTCTCCCATGCCACACGCTCTGCCACACTGTGGGGAGGGGGTGGGATATGGTAACACGAGAATGAGCGAAACCGAGGGTTTCTGTCCAGCCGAATGCGGTACCCCACACTGTCGCCCAACGCCTCGCCCCTCTCCCATGCCACACGCTCTGCCACACTGTGGGGAGGGGGTGGGATATGGTAACACGAGAATGAGCGAAACCGAGGGTTGCTGTCCAGCCGAATGCGGTACCCCACACTGTCGCCCAACGCCTCGCCCCTCTCCCATGCCACACGCTCTGCCACACTGTGGGGAGGGGGTGGGATATGGTAACACGAGAATGAGCGAAACCGAGGGTTGCTGTCCAGCCGAATGCGGTACCCCACACTGTCCCCCAATGCTTCAGCCCTCTCCCATGCCACACGCTCTGCCACACTGTTGGTATGGGGTGGGGTAGGGACAGGAGAATGAGCGAAAACAAGAGTTGCTGTCCAGCCGAATGCGGTACCCCACACTGTCCCCCAATGCCTCGCCCCTCTCCCATGCCATGCCACTCGCTCTGCCACACTGTTTGTGCGGGGGGGTGGGGTGGAGGGAGGAAGGGAACAAGATATAGTGTGTTTTGAGTCGACTCAAGACACACCTAGATATAGTTGACGGAAAGATGCGGAAGCAGAGCTGAAACGGGGGCTTTTGAGACGTCTCAAAAGCAGAGCTGAAACGGGGGCTTTTGAGACGTCTCAAAAGCAGAGCTGAAACGGGGGCTTTACATGCCTTGGGACGAGAGCTGAACACCAGGGTGCAACTCTTGGAACGAGATACAGGAGAAACAGAGGAGGGAAGAAAGGACAGCAAGACGAAGGGCTGTTGGGAATAAAACCTTGAACCAGTATGCGTGGAAAAAAGGCATCGACAGAATAGGGAAAATCCACATTTAAGCATCAGCGCAGGCAGGGTAACAGCAAGGGGGAGATATAGGGCCAACCAAGAGTGTGGCACAACAATGGAGCTGCAACGAAGAATCAGTTGAACTGAAAGAGCTAGGGTGAGAGACGACTTTTGAGACGTCTCAAAATCCGCGTGTAAGTAGACGACTTTTGAGACGTCTCAAAATCTGCGTGTAAGTAGACGACTTTTGAGACGTCTCAAAAGACAGCAAGGGGGAGATATAGGGCCACCCAAGAGTGTGGAGTGGAACAATGGAGTTGCAATGAATAATCAGTTGAAGTGAAAGAGCTAGGGCGAGAGGGGGAGTACCTCAGAGCTGCGATTCTGCGAGGCTGGGTGACTATAATGTGTGTGCTGCTAGCAGTGCCATTTCGCTCCGAGTCTTCCAGAATGAACTGAGGGACCTGCCAATCCAACCAACAACAAGTGGGAACGAAGCATCACGAGAAGTGCAATGAGTTGCAGTGTATTGGGTTGCAGTGCAAGACATGAGCAAGGCATGGTCGCTTCGACCATGACCATGAGTGAGCATTGATTGAGCCAGGCCGGGTCTGCCCTGTGTGTAACACGGTTTCTGCTGATCTGTGACCTTCTCACGCTGATCTGTAACAGTGACACATGGTCTCGCGCTGATCTCGCGCTGACACGTGGTGGGCCAGCCTGGGGCCGGCCGGCCCAAAGGCATCAGCAGCAGAGAGTCGCCCCAAGCCTCATACTATAGCCAGCGGCAGAGCAGAGGGTCGAGAAGCGCACTAGCCCCTATCTGGGTGGTCTTGCCCTAAGTTGGAAAAAACGCAAGTTTGATGTTGCGTATTGAGTTTATACGCATCTAAAATTCGTACGCTGCGTATTTTTCTAAAATTCGCCAAATTTCTCTCGGGCTGACCGGGAAAAAAAAATCAGTTGTGTTCGCGAGTATCGGAATTCAGATTTGAGATCGCGAATTGCAAATGCAACCTCAGATCTGAATTTCGAAACCGTTTGGTGAATCGTCCCCTCCTATCAACCGCTCAACAACCCATTCCATCCAACCACATCGATTACCAATGCCTTCCAATTTTGTTGCCAACTTCAACCAGACTCATCCTCCCCGCTCAATGTCAGGCCGTTTTTCCCTTCGATCCCCTTCTAATTTCACTTGCGACGATAACCTACTACAGCAGCTCCCGTTCCCGTCTCTTGACCTAGCATCTTAACCTGCCCGGGAAAAGAATTTAGCTGCCCGGGCAAGCGTTTTTCTGTGCGTACCAGACCCCCTCCGGCTAGCGTACTGCGTATAAACTCTAGCGTTTATACGGAAAGCGTACTAAACGCGAAACGCGTTTTTTCCAACATAGGTCTTGCCACAGCCAGTCTCCCCAACAATGAGCGACACTGGGTTTGCATGCACCATGCACACCACTGCATCCCTCTCCTTCCACGCTGGCAGCCTCTCCCTCCCAACCTTTTGAGTCGACTCAGAGGTCACCTATCAGGCTATCCCCCTACCTGGGTGGTCTTCCCGCAGCCAGTCTCCCCTACACTGAGCGACACTGGGTTTGCCTGCACCATGCACACCACTGCATCCCTCTCCTTCCACGCTGGCAGCCTCTCCCTCCCAACCTTTTGAGTCGACTCAGAGGTCACCTATCAGGCTATCCCCCTACCTGGGTGGTCTTCCCGCAGCCAGTCTCCCCTACACTGAGCGACACTGGGTTTGCCTGCACCATGCACACCACTGCATCCCTCTCCTTCCACGCTGGCAGCCTCTCCCTCCCAACCTTTTGAGTCGACTCAGAGGTCACCTATCAGGCTATCCCCCTACCTGGGTGGTCTTCCCGCAGCCAGTCTCCCCTACACTGAGCGACACTGGGTTTGCCTGCACCATGCACACCACTGCATCCCTCTCCTTCCACGCTGGCAGCCTCTCCCTCCCAACCTTTTGAGTCGACTCAGAGGTCACCTATCAGGCTATCCCCCTACCTGGGTGGTCTTCCCGCAGCCAGTCTCCCCTACACTGAGCGACACTGGGTTTGCCTGCACCATGCACACCACTGCATCCCTCTCCTTCCACGCTGGCAGCCTCTCCCTCCCAACCTTTTGAGTCGACTCAGAGGTCACCTATCAGGCTATCCCCCTACCTGGGTGGTCTTCCCGCAGCCAGTCTCCCCTACACTGAGCGACACTGGGTTTGCCTGCACCATGCACACCACTGCATCCCTCTCCTTCCACGCTGGCAGCCTCTCCCTCCCAACCTTTTGAGTCGACTCAGAGGTCACCTATCAGGCTATCCCCCTACCTGGGTGGTCTTCCCGCAGCCAGTCTCCCCTACACTGAGCGACACTGGGTTTGTCTGCACCATGCACACCACTGCATCCCTCTCCTTCCACGCTGGCAGCCTCTCCCTCCCAACCTTTTGAGTCGACTCAGAGGTCACCTATCAGGCTATCCCCCTACCTGGGTGGTCTTCCCGCAGCCAGTCTCCCCTACACTGAGCGACACTGGGTTTGCCTGCACCATGCACACCACTGCATCCCTCTCCTTCCACGCTGGCAGCCTCTCCCTCCCAACCTTTTGAGTCGACTCAGAGGTCACCTATCAGGCTATCCCCCTACCTGGGTGGTCTTCCCGCAGCCAGTCTCCCCTATACACTGAGCGACACTGGGTTTGCCTGCACCATGCACACCACTGCATCCCTCTCCTTCCACGCTGGCAGCCTCTCCCTCCCAACCTTTTGAGTCGACTCAGAGGTCACCTATCAGGCTATCCCCCTACCTGGGTGGTCTTGCCACAGCCAGTCTCTCCAACAATGAGCGACACTGGGTTTGCATGCACCATGCGCACCACTGCATCCCTCTCCTTCCACGCTGGCAGCCTCTCCCTCCCAACCTTTTGAGTCGACTCAGAGGTCACCTATCAGGCTATCCCCCTACCTGGGTGGTCTTGCCACAGCCAGTCTCTCCAACAATGAGCGATACTGGGTTTGCATGCACCATGCGCACCACTGCATCCCTCTCCTTCCACGCTGGCAGCCTCTCCCTCCCAACCTTTTGAGTAGACTCAGAGGTCACCTATCAGGCTATCCCCCTACCTGGGTGGTCTTGCCACAGCCAGTCTCTCCAACAATGAGCGACACTGGGTTTGCATGCACCATGCGCACCACTGCATCCCTCTCCTTCCACGCTGGCAGCCTCTCCCTCGCTCTCCACCTGTCCTCCATCTCCCTTGCCGCGCTCCTCCTCTCAGCAGCCAATCTGAACCGTTCATCCAGGTAAGGATCCCTCGGGTACGGTCCAGATACATCCATTGCTGCTGCTGCCGCCGCCGCCGCTGCTGCTCCTGCTGCCGCCGCTGCTGCTGCTCCCCCTGCTGCTGCTGCTGCTGCTGCTGCTGCTGCTGCTGCTGCTGCTGCGTTAGATCCAGAACCAGAGGGGTACGGGAGCGAGGAGGAGGAGGAAGGGAGCGTGCCTGTGGAGTGAGGGCGGGGAAGCAAGCCATTGCCTTGGGTGGTGTAGTCGGGAGGGTGGGAGGGGAGAGGAGGCGAGTGCGAGGGGGGAGGGAGAGACGGTGGCTTGGGCAGGCTGGAGTGGAACTCGGAGAGCACGTCCTCAAGAAGGGTGATGTCGGCTGGATCGAGGGAGAGGCGCGGGGTCTGGTTGGGTGGGAGGGAGAGGGAAAAGGGCAACGAGGGAATATTGTTTAGCACCTCAGCTGGAGTGGAACTCGGAGAGCACATCCTCTAGAAGGGCGATGTCCGATGGGTCGAGGGTGAGGCGCGGGGTCTGCATGGGTGGGAGGGAAAAAAAGGGGAGATACCCGAATGAGCTTCGAGGAACCTCAAGAGACGGTGGCTTGGGCAGGCTGGAGTGGAACTCGGAGAGCACGTCCTCTAGAAGGGCGATGTCCGATGGGTTGAGGGGTGACAGAGAAGAGGTGAATGGGAGAATGGGGGAATCGGGAAAGGGGAATGCATGTGAGGCACGTCAACAGCAGGCTGGAGTGGAACTTGGAGAGCACGTCCTCTAGAAGGGCGATGTCCGATGGGTTGAGAGAGAGGCGGGGGATCTGGTTGGAAAGGAGGGAGAGAGAAAAGGGCAGCGAGGGACTCACATGCAGGCACTCACATGCACGCACTCACATGCCGCACACACCACCAGTAACTTTGGGATCCACTTAACGATGTATCACGCACTGCAGACAATGCATGCACCTGTCCCTGATCCTTGGCCAGCATGCCAGCACTGCCACCACTCTGTCCCATGGCAGCAAGGTTGGAGGAGGAAGGTGCTTTGAGCAGCCCCAGCTTGTGCAGGCGCTCACACGCAGCCACACTCAAAACAGATGCACACACACACACGGCACTGCACGCACCTGTCCCTGATCCTTGGTCAGCATGCCTCCACCACCGCTCTGCCCTCCCAGGGCAGCAAGGTTGGAGGAGGAAGGTGCCTTGAGCAGCCCCAGCTCGTGCAGGCGCTCACACGCAGCCACGCAGCAGCTCCTCTCCGCGTCCGCCTTGTTGCGCCCCCTCCCCCTCGCCACCCACACCTGCGCTCCAGCCCCCCTCCCCAACGGCACATCCAGCTCCGCATAGAACACCTGGGGAAGGAGGAGGGGAGGGGGGTGGAAGAAGTGAAATAACTGAAGTTTTTAAAAAAGGATTGAAGGGACGGGGAACTGTGGGTCTGCCCGCCCCACCTCCTCAGCAGAACATACAGCTCCGCATAGAACACCTGAGGAAGGGGGAGGGGAGGGGGGATTGGGGGGGAGAGGGAATGTACCACACTCCAGTCCCTCCCCAGCAGCACATCCAGCTCTGCTCTGCATAGAACACCTGGGGAAGGAGGAGGGGAGGGGGGATGGGGGGGAGATGGAGGAGTAAGGGAGATAAAGATAGAAGAGGCTTGAGGGAAGATTGAAGGGAGGGGGGGGGGGCACTGACTGAACACCCACCGAATGATCAGTGCTGTGATGTGCTACCACAGAATGTGGACAGTCGACAGCGCACCTTGCCATGGTCAGGGCCTGCAGAGGAGATGCGGATGTTGAGCTTCCCTCCCTTGTTGACAATCCAATCCTTGAACACCGGACAGTGCTGCAGAATTTGGGTTCTTGAGCCAACTCCCTGGTGATTTGGGCCTTTCCCCGAACCTAGAAACCCAAGTCATCAGCGCAACCCAAGGCAGCAGCGCACTTTGCCATGGTCAGGGCCTGCAGAGGAGATGCGGATGTTGAGCTTTCCTCCCTTGATAACGATCCAGTCCTTGAACTCCGGACAGTGCTGTGCTATGATGTGCTTCACAATGTGATTTCCAACCCACCAACCCACCAACCAACCAACCCACCAACCAACCCACCAACCAACCAACCCACCAACCAACCCACCAACCCACCAACCCACCAACCAACCAACCAAACAACCCACCAACCAACCAACCGATCAACCCACCAACCCACCAACCCACCAACCAACCAACCAACCAACCAACCAACCAACCAACCAACCAACCAACCAACCAACCAACCAACCAACCAACCAACCAACCAACCCACCAACCCACCAACCCACCAACCAACCAACCAACCAACCAACCAACCAACCAACCACCCACCCACCCACCCACCCACCCACCCACCCACCAACCAACCAACCAACCAACCAACCAACCAACCAACCAACCAACCAACCAACCAACCAACCAACCAACCAACCAACCAACCAACCAACCAACCAACCAACCAATCAACCAACCAACCAACCAGCCAACCAATCAGCCCACCTTGCCGTGGTCAGGGCCTGCAGAGGAAACCCGGATATTGAGCTTCCCTCCCTTGTTGACGATCCAGTCCTTGAACACCGGACAGTGCTGCAGAAAGTTCTTGGGGTTCTCCGCCCACACGGACGACAGCCCACCACTACTCCCTCCCCCTCCACCCCCTCCACCCCTTCCTCCCCCCCCTCCTCCCCTTCCACTTGATCCGGGTCCACTGCCTAAGATAGCAGCAAGATGAGGCGCTGCTTCTTCGGGCAACCGTAGCAGATCTAGGTCCTGGGGGAGGGGGAGAGGCGAGGGAGAGGGGTTAGCCACCAGAGGGACTATTTTTTAACATAGAAAACACTCTGCAACTTCAAGGAGGCGCCGCTTCTTCGGGCAACCGTAGCAGATCGAGGTCCTGGAGGAGGGGGAGAGGCGAGAGAGAGGAGTTAGCCACCAGGGTGTTTTTATTTTCATTTAAAAACACCCTGCAACTTCCAGGAGCAACTTAGAGGAGGCGCTGCTTCTTCAAGCAGCCGTAGCAGATCCAGGACCTGGGGGGTAGGGGGAGAAGAAGGGGAGAGAGATTAGCCAGCCATAAAAAAGGCGGGACTGATCTGTGGCAACCATCCATGCATGCCTGCATGTACATGTACATGTACATCGTATACACTGCTATCTCTGCACATAAGACCATTTGACACGTCTCAAAAAACTTATCTGTTATTGGCACCCATCTATGCTGTGCTATGCATGCCTGCATGTATGTGTAGATCGTAGACACTGCTATCTCTGCACATGAGACCATGTGATGATAAGCGTGCAGATGAGCACATGCGTGTCGGCTTTTGAGTCGACTCAAAAATCGGCCTGCATGTATGTGTAGATCGTAGACACTGTTATCTCTGCACATGAGACCATGTGATGATAAGCGTGCAGATGAGCACATGCGTGTCGGTCGGCTGCACTGCACGCATGTTCGGAAGCAGGAACACAAGACATGAGCGGTCTGTTTTGATGCAATAATGTCGTCTTGTAAGTCTGCATTTACATTTTAAAAAAATAGTAACGATAACATCATTGATGTTAGTAGCTAAGCAAAACCACCTTGAGATGGAAGCAGGCGTCGATGGCGCACTGCCGCTCTGCCTCCTTCCTCGTCCTCGAGGATCCTCTAGCCGTGAAGCTCGTGAGATCCTGAGGGGTAAAGGAAGGGGGTTTGGGAAAACGGGGTTTGACAACACATTAATCAAATCGTGTACTAAATTGACGGGGAACTGGAACCGATTATGTGGAAAAGGTTCAAATGAAGTCATTTAGACAAACGAACTTTTGCTGAGGCCATCTTTGACTGCTTCAGATTGTTACGCAATAGCAACGTCGTTCATCCTTGATGCCTCTCACGGCTTCCTTACATCGACGCGCACGCGAATCTGCACGGAGACGTCTCCTCCATACAACACAATAGCAACGCCTATCATAACTCATCCTTGATGCCTCTCACGGCTTCCTTACATCGACGCGCACGCGAATCTGCACGGAGACGTCGCCGCCACGTGTCGTTACCGGAACGAGCTCGAATGGCAGGTTCTTATCCGTGTACCGGCCGTGAAACACGGGACTGGCAGCCAGGAGAATCTTAGGGTTTCCCTGAATCATCGCGTCCAGCTTTCCTGCACGTTTCCGCTTGGATCCTACATCGGCGCCAGCGGAAGGCCGGCCGAAGCGATCTGATGTGGAAAGCTGCGCGAAGGATCGCATCGTGCCCTGAATTTGAGAAGAGGGAGGAGGAGGAGGAGGAGGACCTATTATCGAGGATGGCGTGTACGGGTAACCATATGGCTGCTGCCCTTGCTGCTGCTGCTGTAGCTGCTGAAGCTGAGTGTAGGGTATCGAAGCAGGTCCACTCCAGGGGTCCGTTTCCATGCTACACTGCCGGTTCCGCCTCGCTGAAAGCCAAACAATATTAAATTCCAGATTCACAGACACTGGTGGAAGTTCGCGGTTTTGTCAAACGAATGCTTGCGAGGTGATCATGGCTGGAACAAGCACTGTTGGAAAGCAACCCTACGTTGGCAAGATGAAAGAAGCTTGCTGTAATCCCGAGGCCAGAACCAAAACTGTAGGCAGGCAGGCAATGACGAGGCGTTGTGCTCCTAGGACGTATCCTCTGGTCGGGTCATTTTCAAGGTTCAGTCTAGTAGCTGTTCTAGAAATTTATGTATGTGTCATTATAGAAGCAAACTTTCGTAGTAAAATTCGTGTTCTGACAAGCTGGACCTGACTCCACGGACACCAACTGTAACAAAACTTGTAGAGATTACGCCCTTACGATCTCATTCTCTTAAAGACGCCCCCCGTTCTTGTTGTGGGTTCTTGATAACCAAATAATCTCCAAGAACGTAGGATCTCGTCTGAAGCTTCTAGCCATGGCTTCTCTAGCAGAGTGGTGGCTGAACACCAGCTGTCCTGTCGCCGGCCTCCCCTCACTGCGCGCCGTTGCGATCCTCTCAGCCTACGTCGCCTTTCTCATAGTAGCAGGCGAGATTCTTCCCGGAAAAGTGTTTCCTGGAACAGTTCTCGCTGACGGTACCCGCCTCCATTACAAATGCAACGGCTTCCGCGTTCTCCTGCTCCTCCTCGCTCTCCTCGGCTACGGCGTCCAATCCGGACATCTCTCCGCGACCATCGTCGCCGATCTAGCTGGCGAACTTTTCGCGACGACTTTCGCCTTCACAGTACTCCTCTCCCTCGCACTCTACCTCGCGGGAGTCTTTTCAACCAACGCCAAATCTTCCTCCCTGAAACCTAAATTCCACGGCAACTTTATCAGCGATTTCATCTACGGCGTGCAGCTAAACCCGTCCGTGTTCGGGCTCGATCTCAAGTTCTTCTGCCTGCGACCCGCGATGATGGGATGGCTTCTGATCAACCTCTCCATCGCAGCGAAGCAGCATGAGCTTCTGCTGAAACTCCCCGACAACTCACACGCGATCACCCTCGCCTCGTTGAACCTCACCTCCATTCTTCCCGCCAGCGTCGCCAGCAGCAGCATCGCCACCCTCCCTATTATCACGCTTCCCATGTTCCTGTATCAGGTCTTCACCGCTATTTATGTCCTGGACTATTTCTGGTTCGAAGAGTACATGACGTCTACGTGGGACATTATTGCCGAGAATTTCGGCTTCATGCTGGTTTTCGGGGATTTGATCTGGATCCCTTTCACCTTCTCCGTCCAGGCATGGTGGCTGCTGGCCCACGGCACTGCTCGCGACAGTATCGCAGCGACCGTTTCTCTGCCCTTCGCTATTGTCACAGTCGCGGTTTTCGTTGTCGGCTACGCCGTGTTCCGTGGTGCCAACCGCCAGAAGCACATATTCAAGCACGACCCAACGGCTAAAATCTGGGGTAAAACACCCCGTGTTGTTGGCGGCAGGCTGCTGGTTTCGGGTTACTGGGGCATAGCTCGCCATTGCAACTACTTGGGAGATTTGATGCTGGCTCTTTCTTACAGCCTGCCATGTGCTTTCTACTCCCTCTGCCCGTACTTCTACCCTATCTATCTGCTCATCCTTCTGCTTTGGAGAGAGCGCCGGGATGAGGCTCGGTGCCGGGCCAAGTACACGGAGGTCTGGAAGGAGTATTGTAGGATAGTGCCTTGGCGCATTGTGCCCTTTGTCTACTAGGCGGGGTGGATGTTTGTGTCGTGATGGAATGTGTGACAGCATGGAGATCCTGCCCTGGGCAGTGTACCAAAGCATTGAGCATGTTCACATTTCTCTCTTGGATAGGATTATTCGGTTTAGCAATAGAACAAGGTCTACTCTGCTGCCCAGAGAGTGATGAAGTAGGTATGTGGCAAGCTCCTTTGTGAGAGCTTCACTCACTACTTATTTAGTAAGGTACCGTATGTGCTTTCAAAGCAGCTCTAGAAGGACAGCCTCGTATCTGCTTGATCCCCCATTACTCAACTCCACATCATCCCTAGGCTGCCAGTATACACTCCCTCCTGCTTTCCTCAGCTCATTCCAATAGGAACCATCTTTCCCAGACACTGAAATGTCCCCATCATTGAGCGATATCCACACACCATGGAAAGGAATTGCATGCCTTCCCGTGCTCTGGCCCGGGTGCAGTGTGAGATGGTGGATGGCAATGTCAGGCCACTCGCCGCTCTTGTCTCTCTCCCAACCACTCCCCTTGAGCTCTGCACCCTTGAGAGGACTTGACTCTAGCGGGTTTTCTCCTTGAGGCCCATCAGCTCCAGCTGTGCTTGTAACTGCTGCTGGTGCTTCTGGGCCTGGTTGAGAGGGAAACACCTCAACGGCGACTATGTACATTGGCTCTGGATTAGTTTCAAGGGAAATTACCCTGTGAATTTCTGGATGCGTGGTGTAGTTCGCGCAGAAACCCACGCGACTGGGTAGGGCGGTGTCGAGCCATTCCTGGCCGTAGATCTGCTTGCGGTATGCCCCGCCGCTGACGGCGATGAAGTAGGTGTTGCACGCGTGGCGGTGGAAGAGAGTTTCGGCTCCCGCTGGGATCGTGGCTGAGAAAACGCGGACGCGATCGTTGGAGAATACTATCTTATGAAGCGGCTCGTCATCTAATTGCACTATCGGACCTTCAGACGCCATTGCTATGGCTCCTAACACACGTGACCAACTGTTTACGCGCTTCCAGAAAAAATGATCAGTATGTGGAAAATAGGCACGAGTGGATGGGGTGGGTTTGTGGATGACTTCCTTCGCTAGTAGCAGATCCCTCAAGAGAGTTGTTTCTTCTTTGTCGTAATTCTTTGAGCTAAACAGAGTGTCTGGATTGGTGGCACGTCGTGCTGCCTTTTGATTGGTCTTGAACATTCCAGTTTGAGGGGGTGAAACTCTATCCAAACCAGTGAGCTCGTTTGCATTTCGCGTGTCATTATGGTGCCGTAAAAGCCCATCAGAATGCTTGATGCGTTGCGTGGCTTGTGTACCTTTTTGTTCAGTTTCTGCATCCTGAGTTTGTCAGTTTCAGTGCAGAAATACGACCTACCGAGTTGTTTCTTTGGAAGTTCGAAAGTGAGTGGCTGAACCTGGCTCTCTCGGCAAAATCCAGGAACTCGAAATTCAAGGCTATGAGAATCCAGGCTTGTCCAAGGTTATCCATTCATTCTCCGTTCAGGTGACCTGAAGTGGAGTGGCGACGCATCAAGTTAGCAAATTGTTAGGGCTCTTGCTGGTGCGAAGACCGCAATCAGGATTAGTGCAAGTGGGACCATCGCAAGTAGGAGTATTGCGAGTGGGACCATGGCTGCCACAATGCGGACTCTTTCGACCCAGCTGCTCCCCAATTCTCTGAAGAGTATTGCGACGTCGCAAGACGCAGTATGCGGTCGCGATTCTTCCCGAGCTCTGCGCTTCAGGTTGTCGCATCCCTCTTATCGCATTTCTCTCGTCACATCCCTCTTATCGCATCCCTCTCGTCACATCCCTTCCGTCTCGTCGCACGTCGCATGCTCTCGTCGCATCTCTATGCACAAAGCCGTCGCACTGAACGTCCTCGTCGCACAACTTTCGCGAATTCTTGTTCCATGCGTTGCGCTGAAATATTCTCGTCGCATCCAGCTCGCTCGGCTGACACTGAAGTTCCGGCAGATTCTCCTCTCGCTCTTCTCTCCGAATCCCAACTCATTCGCCATTCGCCTCTCGCATTCGTGCGCGTCTGCCGCTGTCGTTCGTTCTCCTGAAAGGAACAGTTTTGAGCCGTCTTTTGAGACGCATCAAAAGTCGTCTGCCTCTGTCGTTCGTTCTCCTCGAACAGTTTCAAGCCCGGCAGTTTCTAGCGTGCCTCCCTCTCGCTTGTTTTTGGAACACCACCTCTCAACCGTCGCACTCCTTCTCACCCTTATCACCCCCCTCATTCCTCTCACTCCTCTCACCCCTCTCATCCCTCACACCCTCCTCATCCCTCTCACTCCTCCACCCCTCTCACTGTGCCGTGCATTCCTCAGGTATCCTCGAACAAACCAAGCCGTCGCAAGTCGTTCGCCGCTCGCAGCCGCCAGAAACACCGCACTCTCCCGCACGTCCCCCTCACGTGCCTCCATTCTTGGAAATCAAACCCCTCAAATTGGAAAGCACCATGTCAAGACGCGGGTGAGGGTGGCAGCGGTGGCGACAGGCGAGCAGGGGGAGGAGGGGGATGCAGTGTGCCTGGCAGCGGCTGATCGCCCTCCGTTCGACCTCAATCTGGCGGTGCTGCTGGCGGGATTCGCGTTTGAGTCGTACAACACCCCGCAGGTGAGTGCAGCGAGCAGCGAGCAGTGGGCAGTGAGCAGCGAGCAGCGGGAGCAACGAGCAGTGAGCAACGAGCAGTGAGCAGAGCAGTGCTGGCGGGTTTGTGAATCCGGTGAATAGGAATTTCGGAGTCGTCACAGGAGGACATTTGACGCAGGAATCATGCTCTCCCTGTGCCTTGCATTGAATCCGCCTTGCCGTTTGACATATCATCCTCGCTGTGTCGCTCACAGGATCTGCTACTGCTGCTCCTTGGTTTTGGGTTGAGCCATGCAATGCGGTGCAATGCAGCACCTCCCTCCTGCCATAGTTCAAAAAGGAGACGCTGTGGGAGAGAGGAGGACCTGGGGGGCTGCCACAGCGACATTACATTCTACCTAATTTCAAAACTCTCACAACCACCCTGTGAATCCTTAGTAACACCCTGCATTCTCAACAACATTCCCTTGGCCACAGGAGGACAAGGACACTCTGTGGGAGCAGGACGTGGGGGGCTGTCGCACCATCTTCACATCCTACGGCTTTGCCTACGAGCTCTACTCCGGCCAACTCATCGTGACCGTCCAATCCGCCTCTGACGTGCCAGCCGTCGATCTCTGGGTGGGTGAAAGCCTGGGGCCTTACCGTTATCTGCTCTGCACGAGTCAAGTGAAGGGGCTGAACGCCATGCTGCATTGTAATATGCATGCTTGAGTGAAGGCGTGAAGGGGCGTGGGTTTGCCTGCCCTCATTCTCGTTGCTGACTTTTGAGTCGACTCAAAAGTCAGCCCTTATTGTTATCTGCTCTGCACGAGTGAAGTGAAGGGGCTGAACGCCATGGTGCATTGTAATATGCATGCATGAGTGAAGGTGTAAAGGGGCATGGCTGGGTCTGCCTGCACTCATTCTCGTTGCTTCGTACTCTGCCCACTCCGCCCCCTGCCAGGGCACCAGCGACCCCTACATGCAGGCATCAGTGGGCGAGGGGTCTGTGCGCACGCGCACCATCTGGACGTGAGTTCCCTCTTTGATTTGATTCGCTTCTCCTTGTTTCATACTCCCCCTGCCACCCGTCTGTCAGGGCACCAGCGACCCCTACGTGCAGGCATCAGTGGGCGAGGCGTCTGCGCGCACACGCACCATTTGGACGTGAGTCCACGCTCTCTAGATTACACAGCCTCGCTATCTAGACTCACACGCTTTTCACCCGCCTTGAATGTCGCGTCTTGTCATGAGGTAGCTGGGGCGTCTGTGCGCACGCGCACCATCTGGACGTGAGTCCACTTTATGGTTTGAAATTCATTGCTAGCATCGCTATCTAGACTCACACGCTTTTCATGCGCCTTAAAAGCCGTGCGTCTTGTCTTGCAGTAGCCGGGGCGTCTGTGCGCACGCGCACACACACTCACTCACATGCGCAAACTCATCCACTCACACACACACACACACACACACACACATAAACACACACACACACACACACCCACATACACACACGCACACACATACACACGCGACAAACATGCAACAAACAAACAGACTTGTGTGCATGTCCTCAGGAGCACGGCGCCAGAGTGGAATGAGGAGATTCGCCTGCTGGTGAAAGCAGATGACACCTCCACCCAGTACCTCAAGGTGCAGATTTCCTCTAGATTCATCTCCTGTCCAGATTCTAGATTCTTCTCTTTGCTCTCCTCTTCCAACATTTCCTTCGTCTCCCCAGGTATGCCACATGTATAATCAGGCTGCTTCCACCAATCGTTTGCTCTCCCTTTCTCCACCAATCACAAGTTCCTTATACAATCCCCCTTCTATTCTCCCAAACCCTCTCTTTTCCACCTCTCCATATGGTTCCTCCTCTGTTCTCACAATTCCACCCTTCTTTCACCACCCCTTCCACCAATCACAGCTGTCCATGTGGGACGATGGAATCGTCATCTCGCCCCGCCGACTCGGAAATGCTTCGATCCGATTGGACGATCTCCTGGACGGTAGCATTCCTGTCACTGCTGTCGTTCTCTGTGTTTTCTTTCAGTGCATCGAAATCACTTGGCGCCGTAACTTTTGAGTCGACTTAGAAGTCACCTTGCCGCCGTAAAAGTTCCCCAATCCCACTAGACCAAACAAGCTTGTTCATTGATGAACATTTGACTCAATGCATTAAGCTTCTGTGTTCTCTTTCATGTGCATGCTCCGAATCCATTCCCATCAGTCGGATTTCAGTCTCTACGTGCCTCATAAATGTCTGTACATCATCCCGTACCCTGTTCCCGCATGTGTGCGTGCGCACATCATGCCGAACCACAAGGATGAGGTTTCCCTAAACGGCCCCTCAAAATCCTTAGGCATCTCATAAACTGTCTCTACGCCATTCCGCAATCCATCGCACGTTTGTCTGTGCGCTTGTGTGTGTGTGTGTGTGTGTGTGTGTGTGTGTGTGTGTGTGTGTGTGTGTGTGTGTGTGTGTGTGTGTGTGTGTGTGTGTGTGTGTGTGTGTGTGTGTGTGTGTGTGTGTGAATGCACGCTCAGGCGAGACTCACGAGCAGGAGGTTGCACTGGAGGGGCCGGGAGGAGGGGCCACGCTCAAGCTAGCAGTGCGCTACCGCAGCTTTGCAGAGCTGGCAGAGGAGGAGAGGAGGAGGTGAGTAGCCAGGGTGTCATATATCAGTGCGACTTTTGAGACTTCTCAAAAGGAGGTGAGTAGCCAGGGTGTCATGTTTATGTGAAATGTTGTTGGATTTAACAAGAAAGCATGGGATGCGGGCCATCTTTGAGTGCAAAACCAGTTCAAGTTCATTCTTGCCATGCTTTCTTGCCATGCTTTCTTGCCATGCTTTCTTGCCATGCTTTCTTGCCATGCTTTCTTGCCATGCTTTCTTGCCATGCTTTCTTGCCATGCTTTCTTGCCATGCTTTCTTGCCATGCTTTCTTGCCATGCTTTCTTGCCATGCATTCTTGCCATGCTTTCTTGCCATGCTTTCTTGCCGTGCATTCTTGTTGCCACAGCAACTTTTCAAATTGGGCAGCTCAGCAATGGGCAATGCCCCCCTGTATCAATTTCGATAGTTCTCTGAGATTCTACATTATGTCTTGTGACCCCATCTCCCTCAAGATTTGGCTTCCATGACACCATGCCTGTCGCCTTCCAGCCAGGCAGAAATATCCTAGTGCTAGCTCGGATCAGACCCGCATGTTGCACCGCACCCTTCTTCCTCCCTCCCTACCAGGTGGCGTCTGCCCTCTCTTCCCAGACCATCACCTGGTAGAAGATGATGGAACAACATTTTCTCAGCCCAGGTGATGTAGACCATCCTACAGGCAATACGCCACTGCAGCCTCATCACTGCAGCCTTCTGACAGAGCAATACGCCTCCCTTAGGCAGTTTCTAACCCAGTTTCACATCTCCCCCCTCCCTCCCTCCTCCCCTCTCTTCCTCCCAGGTGGCGCCTGCCCTCTCTGGATGACATATTGTCAGCCCAGCCCAGCTCCGACTTTCGAGGCATCATCACAGCCGCCTTGCAGTAATACCCTAATGCAACTCGGACCCCCATGTTTCACCCCTCTCCCCCTCTCTCCTCCCTCCCTCCCAGGTGGCGCCTACCCTCTCTGGATGACATTTTTTCAGGCCAACTCCCTCTGGTCTCCGGATTTCAAGGCGTCATCACTTCCGCCCTGCAACCTTCCTCTTCCACACCTGCTGCCGACTCCTCCCCCTCTCCCACCGACACATCTCCCCCTCCCCCTCCCTCCCTGCCAGGTGGCGCCTGTCCTCTCTCGATGACATCTTCTCAGGCCAGCTCCCTCTGGTCTCCGGATTTCTAAACGTTATCACTTCCGCCCTGCAACCTTCCTCTTCCACACCTGCTGCCGACTCCTCCCCCTCTCCCACCGACACATCTCCCCCTCCCCCTCCCTCCCTGCCAGGTGGCGCCTGCCCTCTCTCGATGACATCTTCTCAGGCCAGCTCCCTCTGGTCTCCGGATTTCAAGACGTTATCACTTCAGCCCTGCAACCTTCCTCCTCCACACCTGCTGCCGACTCCACCCCTGCTCCCACCGACGGCTCGGCTCCCGCTACCAGCCAACCGTCGCCGGCCATTTCCACGTACGAGTTTGTCCGGTCTGCCATCCAGCAATTCGGAGCCCCATCCGCCTTCCCAACGAGTCTGGATAAGATCCGAGACTCGGTCGTCCCAACCCAATCCGCGCCACAAGCAGCAGCAGCAGCAGAAGCAACAGGGTCTGCTGAAATCACTGCAGAAAATGCTGACACTGGTAGCAGTGAGAACAGTGGCAGGGAGGAGCAGGTGAGGCAGGCAGTGGGGTTGGCGAGGGAGGTGCTACTCAGGGCAGGCTGGATCCCGCCAGGTGGCACCCTGGACCAGCTCAGTCAGGCGGTAATGAGTGGTACTGACAGTGGCACTGGTGCCTCTGGCAGCAGTTCAAGCAGCAGCAGCAACAGCGAATCTGCCCCTGCTGCTGCTTCTGGTGGGTTTGATCTGGGCTCTGCTGCATCAGCTGCAGCAGGAGGGTTGCTGGAGGGGGCAGCAGGCGCAGTGGCGGGAAGGATAGAGCAGCGGCGAGCGGAGCTGAGGAGAAGCCTCACAGACATGGGCATCACCCTGCCCTGGTACGACCAGAAGAACGGGCAAGGGGCAGACGGACAGAGCAGCAGCTCTGATGCAGCGGCAGCAGCAGGCGATTTTCTGGAGGGGGCTACGAGCGCGTTGGTGGGGCGGATAGAGCAGCGGCGAGCCGAGCTGAGGAAGAGCCTTGTGGACCTCGGGATTACCCTGCCTTGGTATGACCAGAGCAGCGGGCAAGGGGTAGATGGGGAAGGGACAGTCAGGCAGGCAAGCCCCGCTACAGATGTGACTGCTTCCCAAGAGCCGTCCTCCTTCTCGTCCTCCCTGGATGATCTTCGCAAGGCGGCTTTCCGGCAGACTGAGGGCGTGCTGGGGTCGCTCGCCCTGCTTGGCAGCACAGCTGGCAGCCTGCCATTGGCCGAGGGGGAGAAGAAGAGCGCAGGAGCAGCTAAGTCCGAAGGGGAAACTGGTGGGGAGGAGAGTGAGGGAGCGAGAGAAGGAGCGAGTGAGGGAGTGAGTGAAGGAGCGAGTGAGGTAGTGAGTGAGGAGGAGACAGAGGAGGCGCTGCGCATGTTTGGGAGTGCAGAGACGGCGGTGGAGGCATGGACCATGCTGGCGAGCTCTCTCGGGCAGCAGACGTTTGTCAAGTCGGAGTTTGATAAGGTCTGCTTCGTGGACCACCCACAGTCGGACACTCAAGTGGCGGTGTGGAGGGATGTGCGGAGGAAGAGGATTGTGGTGGCTTTCAGAGGCACAGAACAGGTGAGATGCGAGGAGAAAAGTTACAGACGTTTGTCAAGCCGGAGGTTCACAAGGTCTGCTTTATCGACCACCCGCAGTCCGACACGCAAGTGGTGGTTTGGTGGGACGTGTGGAGGAAGAGGATCGTGGTGGCTTTCAGAGGAACCGAGCAGGTGAGATGCATTGCACTGGGATGGTGTGTGAGGAATGGCCCATGTTTGGGAGAGAGTGAGGGGGAGTGTGGTGGGGGAGACAGTATGGAGAGCAGAGACAGTAGTGGATGGAGGCGTGGAGGCATGGACCATGCTGGCGAGTTCCCTCGGCCAGCAGACGTTCGTCAAGTCGGAGTTTGATAAAGTGTGCTTCATGGACCACTCGCAGTCCGATGGTCTTCTGGTGGGACGTGCGGAGCAAAAGGATTGTTGTGGCGGTCCGAGGAACCTAGCGGGTGAGGGAGAAGCAAGGAGAGAAGGTGTTTTTTGAGTCGGAGTTTGATGAAGTGTGCTTTATCAACCAACGTGCGGAGCAAAAGGATTGTTGTGGCGTTTCGAGGAACCGAGCGGGTGAGGGAAATGCTTTGGCATCCTCTTGCTCTGCACTAAGCTGGTGGGCTGGTGGGCTGGAGGCGACTTTTGAGTCGACTCAAAAGTCACCTCCGCACTAAGCTGGTGGGCTGGTGGGCTGGAGGCCCATGCGCAGTTGCCAGCGCAGCACGCCTCCAGCCCATGCTGTATGCTGGCAACTGTGCCCTCTTCTTGACTTAAATGCCCATTTACCAATGTCTCCTGTGCCCCTCTCTCCCCTCCCCCTTCTCCTTCTTGCTCGCTCTCTCGCAGACTAAGGCCAAGGACTTACTTACAGACATCTCGCTCTCTCCCTCCAGGTGAGCAGCTGTAGAAAGAGGTTGACTGAGGTATCCCTGTCGTGCGCTGCTGGTGGGGATGGGGTGAAGTTGGCGAGAGGGTAGGGTGAGGCAAGGGTGAGGCTGGCTGGGGTGAGGAATATAGTTGATTTCATTTATCAGCTGCATTTTCTCTCTACATCCTCCTCATTCCCTTGCAGCCTGGACTTTGAGCAAAGTTGTTTGTTGCTTGAGGGTGCATTCCTGAGTTGGTGGCAGGGCAACTGTTGGTGGCAAGCGCATTTTCCGGCCCACTGAATTTTTGGGTACACTTGCCACCAACTCGATGTGAACAGTTGCCCTGCCACCAACCAGGAATGCACCCTTACATAACAATCTCATGTCACCATCCTTACTCCCTGACCCTCCCTGATCCCCTTCTCTGCCCTTACTCACATAGTCCTCCTCCCCTTCCAGCCTGAACTTATATAGGATGATTGAAAGAACAATCTCATTTCTTCCTTCCTCCCTTCTCCTTGCATCCCCTTTTCTCCTTGCTTCACCCTTTCTCCGTTCTTCCCCCGTTCGCCTTGCTTCCCCCTTTCTCCTTCCTGCTTTCTCCTTACTTCCTCCTTTCTCTTCCTTCTTTACCTTTGCTTTCCTCCTCCTCACCTTCCAGCCTGGACTTCGAGCGAACCTCGTCGGGCGATTTTGACCAGGATGTCATGGTGAGAGGGGTGTGACGTCATGGTGAGAGCGGTGTGACGTCATGGTGAGAGCAGTGTGACGTCATGGTGAGAGCGGTGTGACGTCATGGTGAGAGCGGTGTCGTCATGTCATGTTATGAGGCTGACTGATAACGTCATGGTGAGGAGGAGATCAGGCAGTGTGTGCACATCAAGTCGATCCAGTTCCCTCTCTATGCCAATGCGCATGCTACTCCTATGTCTCAGAAAGTCACTCGAATCCTAGACACAGACTGGTTCACTCTGTGTGTATCTTTTCTTTAGGGGCCTTGAAAACTGTCCCCCAAGTCCCAACCCCCAACCCCTATCCCCCCTTCCTCCCCACCACCACCACAACCTCCCATCCCCCCACTGCAGGTGCACGGGGGTTTTCTTGCTGCATACGACTCTGCGCGCGCCTATTCTTTGGGTGCCCCAACAACAGTCCCCCAAGCCCCAAACTCAAACCCTTGAACCCTGAATCCCCACTTCCCACCCCCACCCCCCACCCCCCACTGCAGGTGCATGGGGGTTTCCTTGCTGCATACGACTCTGTGCGCGCTCGCCTGCGCTCCCTCATTGCCATCATCACCGACCCCAACCGCCCTACACCGCTCACCGCTCGTTCTGCTGATGCTGATGCTGGTGCTGATGGGGACTCCTCAATCCATGCAGCTGACAGCCTATCAGAGGGTGACACGTGGCGGGTGTACCTGACCGGTCACAGCCTGGGAGGAGCCCTGTCGACCCTCTTTGCCTACGAGCTCTCCCAGTCCAACATGGTCAGGTGGGTCTGTTGTTTTCACCTGGTCAGGTGGGTTCTGCTGTTTCACCTGATCCAAGAGGAGCACTTCAAGCAGCCGTAAAAGTAGCATATCCAGTCATTTGATGGCAAGTGGGGCAAGTGGGGGGGCAAGTGGGGCAAGCGAGGGGGCAAGCGGGGCAAGTGGGTGACCATATCCATTCTCCTGTGATCTGTTGCTGCATCCTTCCTTCTTCCCATCTTCTCATTGTGCAACTATGGCTCTTTTCTCCAGCCCTACCCTCCCGCCCTACAATCCCTCGTTCCCGCCCCCACCCTCCCTCGCTACCCAACGTTCTTCTTCTCATCCCATCCACGACTCATCTCCCAAATAGCACAACATCCAGCTCACCATGTACAACAATGGTCACTTTTGAGCCGACTCCCTTCCACGCCTCGTATCCCTGCCGCGTGTACTAAGTTGATTTCTGAGTCGACTCAAAAAGCAACATCCAGCTCACCGTGTACAACAATCATCACTCCCTTCCTTACCACTTTCCCTCTTGCCCCACTCTCTCCTAATGCCTCAGTCACTCATGGTTAGGAAATGCTTTAGCAAGTAAAGAAAGAGAGTTAAAAAACCCTTGCTAAGAGAAATCTTGAACGCAAAAGCTGTATTCACTCAAAGAGAACAGGTCGCAAACATGTTTCGGCAAGTCGGGGATAGAACCGTCAAGCCTTCATCAGTGCTTCACTCCCTTCCCTACCACTTTCCCTCTTGCCCCACTCTCTCCTCATGCGTCAGGGACCGCAAAATCCATCTCTCGTCCCTTATCACTCTCTCCTCACGCTCTTCCCTCCACTTTCCCCCCGTCCCGCAGGGAGTGCAACATCCACCTCATTATGTACAACTATGGTCGTTTCCTCCCACTCTGCCCTCCCTCTCGTTTCCCCCCCCAACCCCCCGTCCCTCAGGGATCGCAACATCCATCTCACCATGTACAACTATAGTCGCCTCCTCCCACCCTTCCTTCCCTTTCCCTCTCTTTGCTCGCCTCCCCCCGTCCCTCAGGGAGCGCAACATCCATCTCACCATGTACAACTATTGTCGCCTCCTCCCATTCTCCCTTCCCTCTCCCTCTCTTTGCTCGCCTCCCTCCATCCCTCAGGGAGCGCAACATCCATCTCACCATGTACAACTACGGCTCCCCTCGCGTGGGCAATGCGGCCTTCGTTGCCAGATTCAACGTGGTTAGTGACCAACACGCGCCCTAGCTCTTTTTTTGACACTCATGGGTCACTCGCTCATGGGTTCAATCATCCCTACCTTTATCTTCAAGGCATGTAACTCAGGGTAGTGCAGTGGAGCCGTCGTTGCCAGGTGCAATGCGGTCAGTCACGGCCATAGTCTAAACCCTAAACCCTAAACCCTGCCAGGGGTAGAGAGGGTATTGTTGAGACGTCTCAAAAATACCCTCTCTACACGTTACGGCCAACATCCCTGCCAGGGTCACACCCCACCAAACGCCCTGAATCCATTCAGGTGGCTCTTTTCTTGCCACGTGTTATCCCTCCCTCTCCCCCCACCGCATCACCAAGATCAACACAAACCCCGGTGATGCAGCAGGGACGGGACAGGAAGCTTGAAATGGTGAAGCGTTTACTTTTCCCCCATCCCCTTTCCTTTCACCATATTAGATCATTCCTTTTCCCTTTCTCTCCACACCTCCTTCCCCCCCCTCCTACCCACCCGCCCACCCCTGCTCGCTCCCACCAGTACATGCGTGACAGCTGGCGCATTGTGAATCGAGCTGACATTGTCCCCACAGTGCCCAAGCTAATGGGGTACCGCCATGTGTGCTGCCCTGTCTACCTCAGCCCAGGAGGGCCCTCAGGTGACCTTCAGGTGGGTTATGATCTTCAGGTGGGTTACAATCTTCAGGTGGTTTCTGATCTTTCAGGTGGGTTCTGATGTTCAGGTGGGTTATGATCTTCAGGTGGGTTATGATTTTCAGGTGGGTTATGATCTTCAGGTGGGTTATGATTTTCAGGTGGGTTATGATCTTCAGGTGGGTTATGACCTTCAGGTGGGTGGGTTATGATTTTCGGGTAAGTGTGACCTTCAGGTGGACGCGACATTCAGGTGCTTCTCAGATAATCATGACTTCAGGTGTTTCTGACATGATTATGTCCTATCATGCATGTGTCTCCACCATGCATGTGTCTTCATCATGCATGTGTCTCCGTCATGCATGTGTCTCCGTCACGCATGTGTCTCCGTCATGCCCATCTGCGCATGTGTCCGTGCGTGCGTTCATGTATGAGCGCATGTGTGTATGTGTGTATGTGTGCCTGTGCACATGGCAGTCGGATGCATCACAGGAGCAGCTAGGAGTGGATGATGGGTACGCAGCCGAGGTGGTGGGGGAGGCGAACGCCAACGACATCCTAGAGGACTATGTGAGACATGCATGCCTAGAGATTTTATAAGGGGTGTTTTCTCTATGAGTGTGCATATGCATATGCATGTGGGGTGGATGATGGATATGCAGCCGAGGTGGTGGAGGAGGCCAATGCCAACGACATCCTAGAGGACTATGTGAGACATGCATGCCTAGAGATTTTATAAGGGGTGTTTTCTCTATGAGTGTGCACATGCATATGCATGTGGGGTGGATGATGGATATGCAGCCGAGGTGGTGGAGGAGGCCAATGCCAACGACATCCTAGAGGACTATGTGAGACATGCATGCCTAGAGATTTCATAAGGGGTGTTTTCTCTATGAGTGTGCATACGCATATGCATGTGGGGTGGATGATGGATATGCAGCCGAGGTGGTGGGGGAGGCCAATGCCAACGACATTCTAGAAGACTATGTGAGACATGCAGCTAGACAATCAGATGTCTCCATTGTATGTGTGGACGTACACGTGCATGTGCATGCGCATGTGGAGTGGATGATGGGTATGCTGCCAAGGTGGTGGGGGAGGCGAATGCCAACGACATTTTAGAGGATTATGTGAGCCATGCACTCATGCATACATGCACGTACCTATACAAGACACTCCATGTTAGACAGGCAGCTAGAGAGTCTGTTAGGGGGTTGTTTGCAGCATGTCTGGGATGTGCATTTCTTGGATGATTTTATTTTTTAGAATTCTTTTTTTGCATTTCACCATGTGTGCGATGTGCATTCTGGTTTTTGCGCACCTCAAGTATAGGATGTTAAAAGAACACGTAACAGGCGCGTTCAGGAGGCTGGACACGAAGAGGATGCGGATTGACTAGTACAACTATAGGCTGTGTCTGACTTGCGATGGAGATCTGTTTTTGAGTCGACGCAGTTTTTTAAGTTGACTCAAAAACAGACTCGTCACACACGGAATTTGAGTGGACTCGAAAAAAGGATGTGGTGTGGATTGACTAGTACAACCATAGGCTGTGTCTGACTCGCGATGGAAAACTGTGAATCTCCCCTCACCCTCTACCCTTTGAGATGAAGGGCGAGAGGCGGCTGATCGACCAGCTGTTGCAGACGGAAGTGGCGATGCTGTCAGCGCTGAGGGATGGATCTGGTCTGAACCCATCATGGCGGCTCCCGCACGCCTGTTGTGCCTCCCTCTTCCCCCTTTCCCCCCTTAAATCCAGATGAAGGGCGAGCGGCGGCTGATCGACCGGCTGTTACAGACGGAAGTGGCGATGCTGTCGGCCCTGAGGGATGGATCCGCCATCATGATGCACATGGAGGACTTTTATTACATCGCTCTGCTCAAGGTGTGTGGGGACATGTGGGTGTGTGGGATGCATGGTAGGACATGGTACGTGACTCACTCCACATCGATCTGCCATCTTGATGCACATGGAGGGCTTTTATTACATTGCTCTGCTCAAGGTGGGGTGTGGGACATGTGGTTGTATGTGATACATGATGCACGGCACCTGATGCACATGGGTCAGCCATCATGATGCACATGGAAGACTTCTGCTACATTGCCCTGCTGAAAATGGGATGTGGGATGCATGGTAGCACATGGTACGTTAGCACATGGTACATTAGTGCATGGTACGTTAGTGCATGGTACGTTAGTGCATGGTACGTTAGTGCATGGTACGTTAGTGCATGGTACGTTAGTGCATGGTACGTTAGCACATGGTACGTTAGTGCATGGTACATGACTCACATCACATGGATCCGCCATCATGATGCACGTGGGAACTGCTATTAGGTTGCGCTGCTCATGGGTAAATTGCACATTGCACACACATGGCACAACCTTCTCCCATCTCCCCACCCCTTCTCGCACCACTCTCTCACTCTCTCTTTCCCCCTCTCCCCTACGCCCCCCAACACTCCTTTCTCCCAACACTCACAACAGAAAGTGCGAGAGAGCCTGGGTGTTTCTCAGTGAACAACTCGCCCGCTGCCGCTACGCTGTTATGCTGACGTTCTTGAGTAGTTGGGGAATTTTCTCAATCCCTTGCGCTTCAGCCGTAGGAGCCATAGACGTGCTGTCACTGTTGAGTTTTCGAGTTTGCCAGTTTCAGAATTCCAGTGGGTGGGTCGCTAATATTGTTAAGATGCTTCGTGAAAGGCGATAATGTCAAAGCAAACACTTCACTTCAAGGGGAATGTGTCATGTGAACCTGTTGCCGATGCCATATTTGACAATGATCATACTCAATTTGAAGCATTAATCACATATTGACCATATGACGCCTTCAACTTGAGGGATGTTGCAGCACGTTTAGTTTCAGTGCGTCTCAATCACCCTTCTGCGCTTGGGAATTCATATTGCCCTAACAGAAAGTTCTGTTATGGCATGGCTCGCTTCTTTACAATGAAGTCGGAGTCCGAATTTGAGTTTTTTACAAACGGGCACAGAGCAAAGGGTTCCACAATACAATTGGTACGAGGCGAGGTGAACGAACGGTTTCGATGATCGCATGATTTTCGCAAAATCGCTGTCACGCACACTTCAAGACCCCCCACACCACCACCCATAGCTTGCTTGTGCTATCTCCTGTCCAGTGTCCATCACGGGATGGCATTTGCGCTGTGCGTAGTCTTCCTTTCTCATTCGATCAAACAATCGGACCATTTCTCAAGCAGACGCAGCAAGACCAGACTCCCTAGACTCTCGTCTCGTCCGAGAAATAGATCTCGGCTCGTCGGTCATCGTGCTTCCTGACAGCAGTAATTGTTCAATTCAGAGTCGTCGCGTTCCGCACTCATCATGTGCGTTTCCACGATGGGACCCTATCCTTTACAGCGTGAGTGTAGCATCACCCGTCCCACACACGCGACGCGCAGGTGCAGCTGTACATTATTTTCCACGCCGAGTCGCCAACGTGTTGTAGCCGCAGTAGCACCCCTTCAGTCCCCCATAGTCCCCGCCGGTCCGCACCGCCAATCTCCCTCCGGAGTCCGCTTCACCATTCTTAGCAGTTCCAGTCTGACTCACCCCTCCCATCCGATCTTCACCTAAGATTCCAGACGATGTAAGGATTTTTTTTAGAATTCTCAAAGGATTCCCGACGCCATCCTATTTAGCCACTCGCGCGATCCTCAAAGACGGATTTGAGCGATCATCATGCGCGGCGAGTCATACTCTGAAACGTCTGAATAATCCAAGCAGTTGTCACGCGCGGTGAATGCCCGGAACCTTGTCGCCAGTCTACTCAACACGCCCAGCCATGGCGTTCCCTACACTCCCGCAGCGTCCTCCGCTCCTCCTGGTCCCACTCGCGCTGCTGCTGCTCTCATCGGCGCACCTCCGCTCCTCCTGGTCCCACTCGCGCTGCTGCTGCTCTCATCGGCGCACCTCCCCCTCCGCGCGCGCGCGCGCAGCAGTGCTCCGCCACCACGCTTTGCGTCAACAACCTTTGCCGCAGCGCTGCGGGCTATTGCGGCTCCACCCCCGATTACTGCAGCGCTGGCTGCCAATCTGGGCCGTGCGGGGGAAACAATTCCGCCCCCGCTCCCCCTTCCAGCGGCGCCCCTCCCCCGTCATCTGGTTCCGCTCAGTGCGGAGCAGCAAACGGCAACAGCGTCTGTCCGAACAACCTCTGCTGCAGCACTGCGGGCTATTGCGGCTCCACCGTCGATTACTGCGGCGCCGGCTGCCAATCCGGGCTGTGCGGAGGAAACAACTCCGCGGCCTTCCCCCCTTCCGGTGCCCCTCCCCCTTCCGGTGCCCCTTCCGCCAACGGCCAATGCGGAGTAGCAAACGGCAACAGCACCTGCGCCAACAACCTCTGCTGCAGCTCTGCGGGCTATTGTGGCTCGACAATTGACTACTGCGGTTCTGGCTGCCAATCCGGGCCGTGCGGGAAAAACACTTCTGCGGCCGTTCCCCAATGCGGAGCAGCTAACGGCAACCGCGTGTGCCCCAAGGGTTTCTGCTGCAGCAAGTTTGGCTGGTGTGGGTCCACCCCGGATCACTGCGGCGCTGGCTGCCAATCGCAATGCTCCGCGACTCCCCCCAAAAAGGCGGTCCGCAATGCTCCAACTTATGAGGTGTATGCTGCTAGTATCTCGATCGTCACTATTTTAATAGCGGCTTTATCTGCCTTCTGAAGCGCAATAAGTTGTGTGTGTGTGTGGGTGGGTGCGTGCATTTGGTAGTACCGCATGTTTGGTTTGTACACCAGGCAGTATTGAAGTGTTCTGTTCTAGTCTGAGACCAGAGCAGGGCTTCTGACACATGGGGCAGGCAATATGAAAATGGGAGAGCATGTGACAAATGCTGGTCCGTGTACGCCGATGAGTGTATTGATCGAGGCATGGATGGCTCAATCTAGAAACATCGCAATGTGAGTGAAATTTCCTTGTGTGCATGATTGGGAGTCCGTATTAACGTTAATGCGCGGTTTTACGCCATTCATAATTCCCAACTCGGAGTTGTAATATTGCGGATGCTCTTGTGATCTTCAATGCGGGAGTTTTCGGAAGTCCTGTCAAAATTCGCAAATACAGTTCGATTCCCCTTCCCAAGGATGCTCGCCTCGCCAGTGCTGACCACGAAAGCAGCTGCTAGAAGGGAAGGAAGGGAACCACTTTTCACATCCATGTCAGCAGCATTTAGCCAGCACCGCACCGCCACGTCGCCCAGTCAACACACTCACGGTGCATCTCTTCTCAGAAGATCCAGAGCACCAGGAACGTCCACGTCCCTCAGAAGAGACTTGCGCTCCAGGTTATGCCACGTCAGCGATTGTCAGACCAATTTCCCAAAAGGTTGCACTAGGTGCAAGCGAGCTGCGATGAAAGCGAACAAGCCGCACCGCACACAGCACCGTCATGGGCCACGAGGGAGTGAGATGAGCAGAGCAACCGACATACCGCGCCTCGCCTGAATTTTACCTCATTCTTGGTGGTACAGTACAAATTCAGTTTCGCCTCACTTATTAACTTCACAAGTGCCTGGAATCAATATTGTTCCTAGCATTCCTCCTTCGAACTTCCTCTCACGCCCCGCTCTTTCAGTTCGTCTCAATCCGCCCAACAGCCATGGCCTCCACACTCGCTGCTCGTCAGGTCCTTTCAGGAATTTCCTTCAGCTCTGCCGTCAGAGGCACCGAGATTGCTACCCGCAGCCTCCCCGCTCTTCCCCTACCAGTCGCGCCCCGCGGACTCGGCGTCACCGCGCTCTTCAGGTCGCGCAAAGCCGCCGTACCCGCGAAGAGCGTCCCCGCGACGAAGCTGCGCACAGAGGACGGCATTTTCGGCACGTCGGGCGGGTTCGGATTCACTAAGGCGAACGAGCTGTTCGTGGGGCGCGTGGCCATGCTGGGCTTCGCAGCGTCGCTGCTGGGCGAGGCGATCACGGGCGCGGGCATTCTATCGCAGCTCAACATCGAGACGGGCATCCCCATCACTGAAACCGAGCCGCTGCTACTCTTCTTTATCGCATTCACTGTGCTCGGCGCGATCGGCGGGCTGGGCGACCGCGGGCGATTCGTGGACGACGACGCGCCTGCGGGTCCGCCGGTGAAGCCGGGGAGCTTCAAGGCGGCGCTGGGGTTGAGCGAGGACGGGCCTCTGTTCGGATTCACCAAGGCTAACGAGCTGTTCGTGGGGCGGCTGGCGCAATTAGGGTTTGCGGCGAGCCTGATCGGCGAGGTGATTACGGGCAGGGGCGCGCTGGCGCAGCTGAACATCGAGATCGGCGTGCCCGTGTGGGAGCTCGAGCCGCTGCTGCTCGCTAGCGTCGCCTTCTTCTTCGTCGCCGCCATCAACCCCGGTACAGGGAAATTCATTAACGACGACGAGTGAGATCGTGCTGTGAAATTCAATGTACATATTTTTTGTGTACCTAGCTATACTAATGCAGATAATGAAGAAATTTCTTCCAGACTGTTCTGTTTTCAATGCTGAGCAAATATACCCGCTGAAAACAAAGAACCACGTGTACAGCTATCTACTCGCAATCTCACCATTCACACTCACTCCCATTCACCCTCCCACACCCCATTTTCTTTCACATTATGACCGTTCCTTCTCGTGTCCTCCAAGTTCTCTCACAGTCTTCGTTTGACCATTCCCACTCTCGATTTTAAATGACAATAATCAATCACGGCTTTCACAAGTGACTTATTTCCAGTAACAACTTTCAAACATGAACACTTGGTACAGTCAAGTCGTATTAATGTGTGCAGTGCGATCATCTCCTCCAGCACTATGTCTCTGATGTGGAAATTGACTGGCTGAAGTCGAAACACGCTGACAGCCTACAGCCCATGCATGCTCACCAGATGCCCATTACCTCAATCCACATGACCAAATGCATAGACCCTGCCTTGTTTGCAAACACATGACAACCCCATCTCGGGGGTCGATCGCCAGGGTTCAGATTGCCCAATGTGCTCCTCACACGGCAGCATTGTGGAGTGATCTGGATTTGAAATGTCATGTGATGCATTGCTGCTTGCACAGCATACATAGTATTGTACTGCCTAGGGCTCTTAGTGACTCCTCAGTTTGTGACAACCAGTTTGATAAAGCAATTTGTCAGCGGTAGACAGTTGAGCTGTGAATGGCCTTACTTCCATTCCATCCCATCAACATCAGTACGTACAATACCATGACTGCTGGCTCGTACCAGGACATTTTCTGAGGTGCCTGAAAGTGATACGCCATGAAGTTGTGATCCCTAAAAACTCGCCTTCAGCATGTGATACCGTGCTGCTTGCATGACAGAGATGAGACTAAGGTCCTCTGTCTCACCTGCCTCCTCCCACCTACCAGCACCAGAGTCGGACTGAGCCAGTGCAGAGGGAACGAGCTCAGAGAGGCACTGCTGCAGCTGCTGTGGGTTTACATGTGCAGGGCAAAGGCAAAGCGAGTGCCAATTCCCCCCTTGCCTCTTGTGAATGCATTGCTGACAATGCTGCTGCTGCTGCTGCTGCTGCTGCTGCCGGTGGTGCTGACGCTGCTTGTTTCGCCGGTCTCTGATGGGAGGGGCGGCTCAGTAGCATGGACTTGGGTTGGTTCGACAGCACCGGGAGGAGCGGTGGAGGGAGCAGCAGCAGGAGGGCGAATGAGGTCTTGAGAAAGAGAGGTGGCAAGAAGCTGTACATTGCCGGGGAAGGGCTGTTGAGGTTGGGGGTTGACAAGGGCAGGGGACAGAAGGCATGGGGCAGGAGAGTGAATGAGGAATGGAGAAATAAAGGTGGCAAGTATATGTACATTTCTGGAGGCTGTTGGAAAGTGGGAGGGAGGGATGAGAGAAGGGATAGGCTTTTCATGCAGCGAGAGTGAGGAGGTTGATGGGATAAGTGGAGTGGGCATGATACTTGCGAAGGGCAGGACATGTGCAAGACAGTAGTCCTGCTGGTTGAAACGAAGTGAAAGGGAAATATAAGGGAATGGAAACTGGACAATGAATTACGAAGGAGGAGTGGAGGACTTGACGCAAAGGGTTGTCAAATCAGAATTTCAAAGTGTGACACTGGTGAGTTGTGTTGTGTCACTTTTCCGCATAGCTACGATATATATATTTGTTAGTCAGTTCGAGTTCACAACTCCGAATTCGAGTTTTTGCAAACTGGGACAAAACAAGGTCCTGCAACATCCGCTGAACTAGTAGAGGCGAGGTGAATGAACCGGTTTGCTTTCCACAGAATCATTTTCAACCGATACTCCAGTCCCATGCCTATCACGAGTCCCCATTAGTCTTTGCAATCGGCCCATTTGTCAACTAGACACATACATACGTACGTACGTATTTGCCACATGTACGTCGGCGTGCTTCCTTGCTTCCTTCCGTTCTTGTTTTGTTCTCAGTCATGGTGTTCCGCGCGCATCATGTTATGTGCGTTTTTACGATGGAACCTTATCCTCTGCGGCACGTGTGCAATATCACCCTTCCCACGCACGCGAAGCGCAGGCGTCGGTCTGCAGACTGCATTAGTTTCCATACCGAGTCGCCAACTGCAGTAGGCACCCCTTTCAGTCCCCAATACTCCCCGCCCAGTCCCCCTTTCGAACAGTCCCGCTTCACTCATCTCACGCATTCTTCACTAGAAGTTCTTAGCTGTCTCTCTACGCTAGCTCACCCTACCCTCACCATAAATGAAGATTGGCGATCTTCACCATGAAGAATTCCCGGGACGTTATTCTATGTAGCCACTTTTTGAGAATTCGAGCAACCGTCACGCGCGGCGAGTCACTTCCCTCGGCCAGAACCTTGCGAGTCCAGTCAACTCGCCCGGCCATGGCGATCGCTCTCCCGCCGCGTCCTCCTCTCCTCCTCCTCCCGCTCGCGCTGCTGCTGTTCTCATCGGCGCACCTCCCCCTCCGCGCGCGCGCGCAGCAGCAGTGTTCCGCCACCACGCTTTGCCCCAACGGCCTCTGCTGCAGCGCCGACGGCTGGTGCGGCTCCACCCCCGATTACTGCGGCGCTGGCTGCCAATCCGGGCCGTGCGGGGGAAACAGTTCCGCCCCCGCTCCCCCTTCCGGTGCCCCTCCCCCTTCCGATGCCCCTCCCCTATCCGCCAACGGGCAGTGCGGAGCACTTTTCGGCAACAGCGTCTGTCCTAACAACGAATGCTGCACCGTTGGGGGCTTTTGCGGCTCCACCCCCCGTCACTGCGCCTTTGGATGCCAATCCGGGCCGTGCGAGAGATACATGCCGAGCCCATACATGCCTAGCCCATATATGCCTCTTCCCCCTTCCGGTTCCGGCCCCCAGTGCGGAGCAGCGAACGGCAACCGCGTCTGCCCCAACGGCCTCTGCTGCAGCGCTGAGGGCCGGTGTGGCTCCACCCCGGATCACTGCGATGCTGGCTGCCAATCCCAATGCTCCGCTACTCCCTCCAAAAAGGCGGTCCGCAATGCTGCAACGTACTACTACCAGGTGTATGCTGCTAGTATCCTGATCGGTTTAGTTTTAGTAGCGGTTTTTTCTGCCTTCTGAAGTGCAAAAAGCTAATTGTGGATTTTGGTCTGTACTGTACACCAGGCAGTATCGAAGTGTTTTGGACTTCTGAGAATAAGATGGATGCTCATGTCTTCAAAAGTGTCCTAAAGGTATCATGTACCATCTACCTGTAATGTGATGCTGTGCTGCTTGCACAGCACGCACCATGGTGTATTTGTCGTAGAAAAGATAGTGTATTTGCATAGAGCTACCGTATTCAAGGCTCGTCAGTCGAGAGGCATCTTGTTTAGTGGATGGAGCAGCTTGTCGGGGGTGTAGACAGGCAGGATGCGGTGCAGAGGCCTTACTGCCATCAACTTTTGGGGCGCCTCAAAAGTAGACAGGCAGGATGCGGAGCGGAGGCCTTACTTCCATCATCGTCAGTACGTAGATACCATGAAAGCGGGCTATCAAGACATCTTCTGTCTTGATAGACATCTTGATTAGTGGAGCAGCTTGTCAGCGGTGTAGACAGGCAGGATGAGGAGGTAAGGTACTAGGTACTTAGTCGATTTTTGAGTCGACTAAAAAATCGGCAGGATGAGGAGGTTAGGTAATAGGTACGTGCTACTTACTTCCATCAACGTCAGTAAGTACCATACCGTACCATGACAGCGGGCTATCAAGACATTTTCTGAGGTGCCTGAAAGTGGTACCGTACCGTACATGCCATGATCCCTAAATTCTCGACTATAGCATGTGGTACCTTGCTGCTTGCATCACAGAGTTCAGACTTGGGTCCTCTGCCTCTCCTATCCTATCCCCTCCCACCACCCAGCACCACTACCAGCAGCAGAAGCAGCAGCAGCAGCAGCAGCAGCTGGCGTTGTTTCCACATTAGTGTGGTCAATAGACTGAGCAGGTTGGGAGGGAAGGACCTCAGAGAGGCACTGTAGCAGCAGCTGTGGGGTTAACTGACCCATGTGCAGGGCGAAAGCAAAGTGAGTGCCAATTTCCCCCTTGCCTATTTTTGAGGCGCCTCAAAAGTTGACCCATGTGCAGGGCGAAGGCAAAGGGAGTGCCAATTTCCCCCTTGCCTATAGCATGTGGTACCGTGCTGCTTGAATCACAGAGATCAGACTTAGATCCTCTGCCTCTCCTGCCCCCCCCCACCTGCTAGCACCAGAGCCGGACTGAGCCAGTGCAGAGGGAATGAGCTGAGAGAGGCACTGCTGCAGCTGCTGTGGGTTCAAGCGGCCCACGTGCAAGGTGAAGGCAAAGTGACTGCCGATTTCGCCCTTGCCTTTCGAGAATGCATAGCTGCTAACGGTGCTGCTGCTGCTGACGCTGCTCGTTTGACCTGGCTCTGACAAGTTTGACGACTCAGAAGCAGGGACATTAGTTGGCTTGACGTCAGGAGGAGGAGGAGGAGCGGAGGGAGCAGCAGGAGGGCGAATGAGGTCTGGAGAAAGCGAGGTGGCGAGTAGCTGTACGTTGCTGGGAAAGGGCTGTTGGGAAGTGAGGGGTGACAGGGGGACAGGGCAGGGTACAGGGGGCAGGGGGAAGGGGGCAGGGGGAAGGGGGCAGGGGGAAGAGGAGGGAGGAGAGCGAATGTGGTATGGAGAAAAATAGGTGGCAAGTAAGGGCCGTACATTGTTGGGGAAGGGCCGTTTGGAGGTGGGTTGACGGGAAGGGATGGGAGAAGGCACGGGGCTTGTAATGGCGGTACACTTGAAAGAGAAAGAGAAAGGCTTTGAGGCACCTTGAACATTGGCTTTTGCGGCGACGAAAGAGAAAGGGATTTGAAGAATAACTCTCAGAAGCTGCAGGTTGCTTGGTAGAGGGTTTTCAGGGGACCCAATGGAACAATGACGAATTAGGCTGGCACAAATAAAAGCTGGTATAAGTAGGAAATGCAGAGACGAAGTGAACAGGAACTGTAAGGAATGAAAACTGGATACTTACTTAAGAAGGAAGAGAGGAGGCCTTGGCACAGAGAAATTAGGTTCTACATGTTAGAATTAGGCTGTCAACACTTAGTGTACTATATTCTATATCGCGTAGGTTATTTGCGGGTTGGGTGTAGTTTGTGATCCCAACCCTATCTGGTTGGGATTCCCTCGTAATCCTGCAAATCTGCCAACTCACCAATTGGAGATTTGCTAGGATTCCCATCCCATCCTTTCCCTAGCCTTGCCCAGCCCAACCTCGTTTGTACTTAAGGCCTAGTGCCTTCTTTCCTAATCAATCAGTTGAGCTCCATTATTATCACTACATACCTCTCCTGCCTGAGGCATGGCAGACATACGACCTCAGGCATGGCAATTTTTGCCTTTGAGTCGACTCAGAAGCAAATTAGGTTCTACATACCTCTCCTGCCTGCAGGCACGGCAATTTTTGAAGCGCCTCAGAAGTACTCTCATGCCTGGAGGCAGGGCAATTTTTCGGGCGTCCCATTTTGGGGCGCCTCAATAATAGAGGCCTCAGAAACCAGACTTACAAAGGAAGAGTGGAGGACTTGGCGCAGAGCAATGAGCGCCTCCTCTCCTGCCTGCAGGGAGAAGGAGAAGAAGAAAGAGCGATAAAGAGGCGAGCAAGGGAGAGGGAGTGGAATGGAGTGAGAGGGGCGCAGGCAGAGGCATGTATGATGCCGGGATACATAGTCAGACACCACCGCTCGATACAATTTTGAGAATTCAGAGAATTCAGAGAATTCAGATAATTCAGAGTTCTGCATGAGCAGAGGCATGCATGATGCTGGGATACATAGTCGGACACCACCGCTCGATACAATTTTGGGAATCCAGAGTTCTGCATGAGCAGAGGCATGCATGATGCCTCTGAAGCCAGACTGACGAAGGGAAGAGCGGGATACATAGTCGGACACCACCACTCGATACAGTTTTGGGACTGGAACCAAGAAGAGCTTGCAATAGCACTCACCCGGAGGTTCAGGTTGTCAATGACAAGGCAGACGCGCAGGGAGGGCATCTTGGCAGCCGCCTGCAGCACCCCTGCTATGCCCTTCACTGCACTCCAACCAACCACAATCTCTCCAATGGAACTGAAGAGAACAGTACTCACCCGCAAGTTCAGGTTGTCGATCAGGAGGCAGAAACGCAGGGAGGGCATCTTTGCAGCCGCCTGCAGCACCCCTGCTATGCCCTTCACTTCCCCCTTCTGCAGCAGCACCACCCTCAGCTCCCGCCTCCCCCTGCTGCTGCCTTCCCCTGACTCGCCCGCGAGAGGGGACGTTAAGGGAGAGTCGGAGGAGGGAATGGAGAGGAGGGCGGAGGAGGGGAGGGCCATGGGGAGGAGGACGGAGCGCAGGAGGGTTGACTTGCCCGTGCCAGGTGGCCCGTGCTGATTGGACGGGAGATGGGTTGATGGGAAGAGGGGAGGGATGGGGAAGAAAAAGGGGGGAGGAAGGTTTGTAGATGGAGAAGTGTGGCAACGGCAGTCGGCAGTGGGATGACTTGAATGGTAAGAGGCTTGGGTGGGAGGGAGGGAGGGAGGGAGGGAGGGAAGGATGGACGCACCAGCAGCACATGGGGGGAGGGTCGACTGTCCACGTGTGTGTGCACCAATCCTCTCAGAGCCTCTCGGTGGTGGTTGTAGATAGAGAAGAGCGGTGAGGGCGGTGGGGTGACTAGGTCCGGTGCTGCTGCCACGAAGCGACCTCCCTTCCACTCCAGCACTGCGAGTTGAAGGGGAGAAAGTGAAGGGGGAAAAGTGACGGGGAAAGTGAAGAGGGAAAGGGGAAAGGGGAGGGGGACAGAAGAGGGAACTTCTGAGGCACCTCAAAGGTTCGGTGCTGCTGCCACGAAGCGACCTCCCTTCCACTCCAGCACTGCCAGTTGAAGGGGGGAAATCGAAGGGGGAAGGGAGGAAGGGGACCGGGAATGGCACTTCTGAGGCGCCTCAAATGTCCGGTGCTGCTGCCACGAAGCAACCCTCAAATGTCCGGTGCTGCTGCCACGAAGCAACCCTCAAATGTCCGGTGCTGCTGCCACGAAGCAACCCTCAAATGTCCGGTGCTGCTGCCACGAAGCAACCCTCAAATGTCCGGTGCTGCTGCCACGAAGCAACCCTCAAATGTCCGGTGCTGCTGCCACGAAGCAACCCTCAAATGTCCGGTGCTGCTGCCACGAAGCAACCCTCAAATGTCCGGTGCTGCTGCCACGAAGCAACCCTCAAATGTCCGGTGCTGCTGCCACGAAGCAACCCTCAAATGTCCGGTGCTGCTGCCACGAAGCAACCCTCAAATGTCCGGTGCTGCTGCCACGAAGCAACCCTCAAATGTCCGGTGCTGCTGCCACGAAGCAACCCTCAAATGTCCGGTGCTGCTGCCACGAAGCAACCCTCAAATGTCCGGTGCTGCTGCCACGAAGCAACCCTCAAATGTCCGGTGCTGCTGCCACGAAGCAACCCTCAAATGTCCGGTGCTGCTGCCACGAAGCAACCCTCAAATGTCCGGTGCTGCTGCCACGAAGCAACCCTCAAATGTCCGGTGCTGCTGCCACGAAGCAACCCTCAAATGTCCGGTGCTGCTGCCACGAAGCAACCCTCAAATGTCCGGTGCTGCTGCCACGAAGCAACCCTCAAATGTCCGGTGCTGCTGCCACGAAGCAACCCTCAAATGTCCGGTGCTGCTGCCACGAAGCAACCCTCAAATGTCCGGTGCTGCTGCCACGAAGCAACCCTCAAATGTCCGGTGCTGCTGCCACGAAGCAACCCTCAAATGTCCGGTGCTGCTGCCACGAAGCAACCCTCAAATGTCCGGTGCTGCTGCCACGAAGCAACCCTCAAATGTCCGGTGCTGCTGCCACGAAGCAACCCTCAAATGTCCGGTGCTGCTGCCACGAAGCAACCCTCAAATGTCCGGTGCTGCTGCCACGAAGCAACCCTCAAATGTCCGGTGCTGCTGCCACGAAGCAACCCTCAAATGTCCGGTGCTGCTGCCACGAAGCAACCCTCAAATGTCCGGTGCTGCTGCCACGAAGCAACCCTCAAATGTCCGGTGCTGCTGCCACGAAGCAACCCTCAAATGTCCGGTGCTGCTGCCACGAAGCAACCCTCAAATGTCCGGTGCTGCTGCCACGAAGCAACCCTCAAATGTCCGGTGCTGCTGCCACGAAGCAACCCTCAAATGTCCGGTGCTGCTGCCACGAAGCAACCCTCAAATGTCCGGTGCTGCTGCCACGAAGCAACCCTCAAATGTCCGGTGCTGCTGCCACGAAGCAACCCTCAAATGTCCGGTGCTGCTGCCACGAAGCAACCCTCAAATGTCCGGTGCTGCTGCCACGAAGCAACCCTCAAATGTCCGGTGCTGCTGCCACGAAGCAACCCTCAAATGTCCGGTGCTGCTGCCACGAAGCAACCCTCAAATGTCCGGTGCTGCTGCCACGAAGCAACCCTCAAATGTCCGGTGCTGCTGCCACGAAGCAACCCTCAAATGTCCGGTGCTGCTGCCACGAAGCAACCCTCAAATGTCCGGTGCTGCTGCCACGAAGCAACCCTCAAATGTCCGGTGCTGCTGCCACGAAGCAACCCTCCTTGCACTCTGGCACTGCTGATGGGAACCTGGGAAAGGGGAAACAGGAGACTTGGGGAAGGGGGAAGGGGGAAAAGAGGGTAAGGGGAAAGAGGCTATACTAACACCAGTATTTCAAATCACTTCAGTCGAACTCCTTTTGCTGAAGGAACGAGGGGAGGGGGAACAGGAGAAGACGGAAGGGGAAAAAGGGTGCACTACTGCAATTACCCTCGATTTTTTTTTCACTTGACCACCTTCCACTCTAACCGAGTACGAATGTGTCACAAACAAATAAACTCAAACTCAAATTAGAGCAAAAAGAAACAAAGGCAGGCGAATGACACACATGGAGCACATCAGATTTCTACAGCCCCCACCCTACCTGAGCTGACTGCTGCCTCCCCATAGCCGTTGGCAGCATGGAAGGCGTGGATGAGCGGCAGGAGAATGAGAGGCAGCGAGGCTTATCAATTCCCACCGACCCTACCTGAGCTGACCGCTGCCTCCCCATAGCCGTTGGCAGCATGGAAGGCGTGGATGAGCGGCAGGGCATCCGCCCAGTCCCACATGCCGCTGATGCGCGGCGGTAAGAGGTCTGCAATGGGGGGGAGGGAAAGCGGAGGGGAGGGCAAGCATGGAAGGCATGGAAGGCGTGGATGAGAGGCAGAGCATCGGCCCAATCCCACATGCCACTTATGCGCGGCAGTACGAGGTCTGTCAGAAGGACAGTGCGGGGGGGGGGGGGCAGTGAAGGGCGCGGGGAGACAAGAGGAGAGGGGAAGCATGGAAGGCGTGGATGAGAGGCAGCGCATCGGCCCAATCCCACATGCCACTTATGCGCGGCAGTACGAGGTCTGTCAGAAGGACAGTGCGGGGGGGGGGGGGGGGGGGGGGCAGTGAAGGGCGCGGGGAGACAAGAGGAGAGGGGAAGCATGGAAGGCGTGGATGAGAGGCAGCGCATCGGTCCAGTCCCACAAGCCACTGATGTGCGGCGGCAAGAGATCTGCGACAGAGACAGTGCAGGGCAGAGCGGGGAGGAGAGGGAGCGGGGAGACAAGAGGATAGGAGAGGGGCAGCAAAGAGCAAGGAAGCATGGAAGGTGCGGATGAAAGGCAGGGCATCCGCCCAGTCCCACATGCTGCTGATCCGCCCAGGGCTGATGCCCACATGGAAGGGAGGGGAAGGGAGGGGAAGGGAGGGGAAGGGAGGGGAAGGGAGGGGAAGGGAGGGGAAGGGAGGGGAAGGGAGGGGAAGGGAGGGGAAGGGAGGGAAAGCATGGAAGCAAGGAAGGCCTTGATGAGATGAGATGAAGGGAATGGGCCCAATCATGGTTCTAGTTAGAAAGCCAGGCAAAATAGGCCCAGATTGCTTGTTCGTCGAATTAGAGATTGTTCCTTAACCTGTGGTGCACCTTCACTAGAGGAAGAGGAGGATGCAGCGGACGCAGCAGGGGCAGCAGGGGTCAATGCCTCCTTGCTTGCTGCAGTCAGGTCAAAGCCCATCACCCTGGCCTCGCCAGCTCCGTTCCTGTCCCGGCTCCCCTTAGCCACCCCATTCGCAGCGCCGGCAGCAGCCTCACGCCACTCGGCCGGCATGTCCGGTACAATGTCCGCCACCTGGACACATGGAGAGCAAAGCATTGAAGGCAAAATCGATTCTTTATGCGAAAGCGAGTTGTGATTCGACTCGAAAGTAGCGCCCGCGGCAGCCTCACTCCACTCGGCCGGCATGTCCGGTACAATGTCCGCCACCTGGACACATGGAGAGCAAAGCAGTGAAGGCAAAATCGATTCTTTATGCGAAAGCGAGTTGTGATCCGACTCGAAAGTAGCGCCCGCGGCAGCCTCACTCCACTCGGCCGGCATGTCCGGTACAATGTCCGCCACCTGGACGTGCTTTTAAGGCGCCTAAAAAAAGCAGCCTCACGCCACTCGGCCGGCATGTCCGTCCGGAACAATGTCCGCCAACTGGACGTGCTTTTTAAGGCGCCTAAAAAAAGCAGCCTCACGCCACTCGGCCGGCATGTCCGTCCGGAACAATGTGCGCCACCTGGTACAACGTGCAATGCGTAAAGAAAGACATCCAGTGAGGCAGGCATCCAGTGAGGCAGGCATCCAAGGGGGCGGAATAGACATTGAGTTGAATTTTGAGGCGCCTCAAAAATAGACTTTAGATGTGAAAGCGCGTTGTGATTTGACTTGAAAGCCTCACGCTACCCCCACCTCACGCCACCCCCACCTCACGCCACCCCCACCTCACGCCACCCCCACCTCACGCCACTCGGGCGGCATGTCTGGTACAATGTCCACCACCTGTGGAGAGCAGAGCATTGAATTCAAGATCATGGGGGCAAAATTGGCATTTGAGGCGATAGAGGGTTTCAGTTGACGTACGACCGTCGTTGTTTCTCTGACATTCAAGAGCTCAGGTCCTCTGCAGGGTGAATGTGAGTGTGAATGTGAGTGTGAATGTGAGTGTGAATGTGAGGGTGAATGTGAGTGTGAATGTGAGGGTGAATGTGAGTGTGAATGTGAGTGTGAATGTGAGGGTGAATGTGAGAGTGAATGTGAGGGTGAATGTGAGTGTGAATGTGAGTGTGAATGTGAGTGTGAATGTGAGTGTGAATGTGAGTGTGAATGTGAGTGTGAATGTGAGTGTGAATGTGAGTGTGAATGTGAGTGTGAATGTGAGGGTGAATGTGAGTGTGAATGTGAGGGTGAATGTGAGTGTGAATGTGAGTGTGAATGTGAGGGTGAATGTGAGTGTGAATGCGAGTGTGAATGTGAGTGTGAGTGCAGTCACTACAGATGACTATTTTCATTTATCGACTTGCCGCCCTTGCCTCTTGGCTAGCAAACAGATAGGGAAAGAAGCACTACAACAACGCACCCGTTTCCACCCACGATGTTGCAGAGTATTTTTGAGAATTTTTGAGAATTTTTTAGACTTTTTGAGAATTTTTTAGAATTCTCAAAAATACTCTGAAACGGATAGGGAAAGAAGCACTACAACAATGCACCCGTTTCCACCCACCCATCCCACGTACCCAGGAAGCAAGGGTGGTTTCGTTGACGCACAGCCGCTGCAAGGAGCTCAAGTCCACAGCTGCCGCCGCCCTCAGCTTGCTCGGTTTGCCGCCCAGACTGAGTAGCTTCTACACCACACTTGTTTGATCAAAAGAGCACGTGCTCATACAACCCACCCCACTCACCCAGGAACCAAGGGGGGTTAGTTTTGAGTCGACTCAAAACTACATTCTCAGCTTGCTCTGTTTGCCGCCCAGACTGAGCAGCTTCTACACCACACTTGATTGATAAATAAAAAACGCACGTGCCCATACAACCCACCCCACGTACCCAGGAAGCAAGGGTTGTTTCGTTGACGCACAGCCGCTGCAGCGAGCTCAGGTCCACAGCTGCTGCCGCCCGCAACTTGCCCTGTTTGCCGCCCAGAATAGTCGGATCACCGGCAGAGACTGCTGCTGCTGCGGCTGCTGTTGTTGCTGTGGTTGTGGTTGCTGCTGCTGCTGCCTCGGCGAAGGGGTTGTTTTCGACAGTCAGGATGCGATACAGTAGCAGATCTTCCCAGCTGGTGCGATGGTATGGGTGGGGTGGGGTGGGGCGCGGTGGAGAGGGATAGGATGGAGTTGGGGAGAGTGAGGATGAGATAGAGTAGCAGATCATTTCAGCTGGTGGGATCATGGCATGAGACGGCATGACATGTGGTGGGATGGGGTGGGGTGCGGTGCGGTGGGGTGGAGTGGGATTTTGTTGCTTGGGATGGATTTGGGGAGGTTGAGGAGGGAATGGGGTGGGGTATGCTGCATGAAAGGGGGTATGATGGGGAGAACTGAACCGAGACGTGTCAAGACTTGTTGAATGAGGGGGGGAGAATGTCCGCCACAAACGCCATGCACGCACATAGTGGTTTTGAGACGTCTCAAAAACACTCTTCTTTCACCAGAGATGAGACGTCTCAAGGCTTGAATGAGGGGGGAAGAATGTCCACTACAAACGCCTTGCACGCACATAGTGCTGATGGTTTTTTGAGAATTCTCGAGGTGACTTCTGAGTCGACTCAAAAGGCACGTCTTGATGATGGCGAGAACTGAGGCGTCTCAAGGCTTGAATGAGGGGGGGAGAATGTCGACCACAAACGCCTTGCACACACATGCACGCACATAGTGTTATTGAGACGTCTCCAAAACACTCTTCTTTCACCTGAGACGTGTCAAGACTTGTTGAATGAGGGGGGGAGAATGTCCACTACAAACGCCTTGCACGCACATAGTAGTCGACATTCTCCCCCTCATTCAAGTCTTGAGATTTCTCAAGGGCAGATGGTTGTTTGAGAATTCTCAAGAAACCACACCTGCTTCTGAGCATTTTGACCAAGTGTGGTGGTAATGGGAAGATTTCAGGGAAGGCGTAAGCAAGCAGAGGAAGGAGAGAACATCAGGGAGAAGCTACCTGGAATGTTCCTCAAAGGCCATGAGGCGATGAAACTCCCCATAGCTCTCCAGCACACGCAGAGGGTCTGCTTGTGCGGGGGGGAAAAGGGGGGAAGAGGGGGGAGGGGGGGGAGAAGGGGGGAAGGGGGGGAAAGGGGGGGGAAGGGGGGAAGGGGGGGAAATGGGGGGGAAGGGAGACATGGGGGAGCGGAAAGGGACGCGGAGGAAAAAGGGAAGGCACAGCTCTCCCCAAGGCCATGAGACGATAAAACTGCCCATTGCTCTCCAGCACTTGCAAAGGGTCTGCTTGGGAGGGGGGAAGTGGAGAAGTGGGGGGATGGAAAGGGAGAGGGGAGCGAGGTAGCAGGGGAAAGGGGAGCTTGGGGATTTGGATGATTCTGGGTTTGGGGGTTTGGGTAATGACGGCACATGAAGTAATGCACATGGTTCCATTCCACCCCCAATTCCCAACGAGGATCAACCCCATCAGACATCACATTGCCACCCCACCACCCCCACCACGGCGCAGCTGCTGCAAAGGCCTCAGGAACTGTGTCGTGTGCCATGGTAACGAGGTGACTTTTGAGTCGACTCACAAGTCACCTCAACCCCATCAGACATCACATTGCACCCCACCACCCCCGCCACAACGCAGCTGCTGCAAAGGCCTCAGGAACGCCTGAGGAGCAGCGCTTATAGCAACAGGCCCCCGCAACCCCACCACCCCTAGAAACCCTCCTCTTCCCCCACTCCCTGCACTCCCTTCCCCTTCTCCCCACCCACCATCAGAGCGGCGCAGCTGCAGCAACAACCTCAGGAACGCCTGAGGAGCCGCGCCTTTAAAGACCTCCTGGTACACCAGCAGTGCGGCTGCATCCCTCAGTAGCCGCGCTGCTGCTTTCTCGACACTGATGGGGGTGGAGGGGGGTGGAGCGGATAAGAGTGGGAAGAGAGAAAGGGCAGCAGCGCCTTTTAAGACCTCCTGGTATACCAGCAGTGCTGCTGCATCCCTCAGTAGCCGCGCTGCTGCTTTCTCGACACTGGGTGGACGGGAAAGGGTGGGGGGGAGGAGAAGCGAAGTGGGGGAGGAGCCGCGCCTTTGAAGACCTCCTGGTACACCAGCAGTGCGGCTGCGTCTCTCAGTAGCCGCGCTGCTGCTTTCTCCACGCTGAGGGGGGTGGAGAGGGGTGGAGGGGGGTGGAGAGGATAAGTGTAGAAAGAGAGAAACGGCAGCAGCGCCTTTAAAGACCTCCTGGTACACCAGCAGCGCTGCCGCGTCTTGTAGCAGACGCACTGCTGCTTTCTCAACACTGAAGGGGGTGGAAGGGGGTGGAGGGGGGTGGAGGGGGGTGGAATGGAGGGAGGGAGTGGAGGGTCGGGCATTAGGGAGGGTAGGTTGGGAGGTGCTGAACGGGTCTTGGCAAGGGTGCTATGAAGAACGTTGCAGAAATTTCATGCTTGAGATCGTGCTACCTGGGCCGTGGATCTGCAGTGAATCCAATGGCTGTGATTGTTCGCCGCCTCCCCCGAACCGCTCCACCCTCCCCTCCCATGCCTTCTCCTCCGAAGCCCCTTCTCCAACCTTGCTGCTGCGTCCCGAGCCTAGAAATGCCGCCGCTGCCGAGGCTGGAACCGAGCCTGTCGTCTAGCCTCGTCAACTTTCGGCTGAGCGGATGACCGGGTCCGGCGTGCACTTGCCACGTGCCGAGTGGGCACTGACTTGACTTCGACGGCTGCGACCCATTCGCGTGGCGAATTCGTGTGTGGTAACCAGATGCACGTGACGAAAGGAACGCCTGCGTCATTGTCGCAACTGCTCCGATAAGAAATGAATTGTCGTTGAATACTGGGCTAAGAGACAACAGGGTCGGCGACGAGTGCGGAACGACGAAAGGCGAGGACTGCAGCGAGGAATGCGGCGAGGAGTGCGGCGAGAAATGCGGCGATCTGGGCCGATCTGCGGGGTGTGCAGAGTGAGTGAAGGGAGCGAACCAGCTGCTCCTGATTGGGTTGGCGCAGGAAATTGGATTTGCTGTCTCTGCTGGGTCTCTGGTGCTAGTGTTTGAGGACGCATTCGTACGCACATTCGCAAATACGATACAAGCGTGTCATCACTTCTAGTGTCACTTGCTTCATGTATATATCAAATGAAGTCTGCTGTTACAAGCTGGAAAAATAGAAACTGTATGGTATTTATAATGCATTTACAAACAAGCACACACCAAGCCCTTGGTCGGGTGGCAGATGCAAGCACTGACAAGCAAAACGTAAATCTGTACAGTTACTCCCGCTAACCTATACATGCGCACGACGCTTAGGAAATGGGATGTGGGTATTGGGTGGGGTGGGTTGGCCAGTACACAACACCTTGCAGCAACATCTCCGCTGCTTATTTGACTTCTCATCAACAACTGCTCATTTCACCTACGCTACTCACCTCTTCCTCACTCCCCTCCTCTGCTTCCCCCTAACTCCTCCCTCGCTCCTCCTCGCCGCCTTTCATTTGCCAACCTGCCACACGCTCAGGTACCATCCACCCCCTACTCTCCACCACAAAAAGTTGCCAGTAGCGCAAAATAGACACGCCACAACACCATGTCACGCAAGAACCAGAAAAGGCCAGATTACCGTGCAAGAAAAGACCAACCTTGCAGAGCAGAAAAAAAAAAAGAGCTGCGCACAGACGCTGGTTACCACCCGACTCACTTCAGATGCTGCAGATTGCAAAAGGGTTGCAGAATGTTACAAAATGTTACACAGGGTCGCTGTAGCCTTGCGCCCTTGGCACCCTTGGCGAAGAGTCCAGCCGCACGAGATGCCTTATGAATCCCTGACTCGAACCAGGATTGCTGTGTCTGAGGCGCTTCGAACGAGTCTCGACCGAAACCAGGGTTGCTGTTGCCCGGTGTACCCTTGCATGATTGTATCCATCATCCATGTAGCCACATGGAGAAATGAGCTTTGAGTCGAACCAAGCAAGTGAGAATGGGAGTATCCTGGCAGTCTTGCTGTTGTGCCGTTGCACGGAGCTTCTGCCAGGTGAGATAAAGACGGGGCCTGAGGGCTGTGTGTCTGCACAGCCCTTGTAAATACAATATAGCTGCAGGCGTGATAACCGTCGACGCTGCAGGTGCGAACAGGAGACGATGCTGCAGGGGAGATTAGGAGAGGAGGCTGGAGCTGCAGATAGCAGCAGAAGCTGCCGCACAATGCAGGTGCCGTTATGAGTGGAAGTATTCGAGTCACTCTTGGGAATTCTCAAAACGCAGGTGAGAATAGCAGAGGACGCTGGAGCTGAAGGTAGCAGCAGGAGCTGTAGCCAAATGCAGGTGCCCCCCGATAAATGGAAGCTGCTGTCTTCTCGTGAAAGCGCGGCTAAGAATGGAAGCTGTGGCGCATCTCGGGCTCCTTCCATGCTGCTCTCGCGGGCGTGTATTCTTGAGGAGCATAAAAAAAAAAGTTGGGCCAAACATGGAAGCCGCTGTGCCGAGAAAGGGCGCCAAGAAAGGGAGCGGCTAAGCGTGGAAGCTGTGGCGCATTTCAGGCTCCTTCCATGCTGCTCTGGCGGGCGTGTAGCGCGACAAATGGGCGAACCCCCACAGCTGCAACACACGAAGTAACCGTGGCAGCGGCGGTGGTTGTGAAATGAGGCGAGTGGACCAGGGTGGGCGGGAAAGGGAAGCAGGGGGGGGGGGGGAAGGTTAGGAGAGAGAGCAGCTACCTGGGTAATAAAAGTAGAGACAGTGAGGAACAAAACTATTGCTACGATGAACGTGCCAAGGGGCAAACTATTACTAGGTGTTGGGAGGGCCGGAAGGGAGGAAGGGGTGAGGGAGACAAGAGAAATGAGGCAGATGGGTGTGCATGCAAAAGAGAGGAATGCAGTGCAGTACCTCAACGTGTTTGACGCAGAAGTCCTCCTTCCCCGCCAGGCATGGGCTCACGAAGGTGAGTTTTAAGGCGTCTAAAAAATAACCTCAAGGCAGATGAGTGTGCGTGCAGGGGACATGAGTGTTCGTGCAGGAGAGAGGAATGCAGTGGAGTACCTCAACATGTTTGACACAGAAGTCCTCCTTCCCCGCCAGGCATGGGCTGGCGAAGGTGTCACACTCGCCACTGGAGCCCGACAGCCTGGAGACCGAGGCAAGACAGGAGGAGAGACGCGGAGACGGGAGAAAGGGGCAAGATGAACACACAAGATTGAGTGACAAGATTAAGCAGACTCTCGTGGAAGAGCTATCTCTCAGAGAGGCAGACAGTGACAGAGAAATGCCACCTATCGTTGCATCATGCACGGTTGGAACACAAACACGGACTCACAGGTCTTCTTCCAGGCGAAGGGCGAATCTCCCTCCGCCACCGAAGGCGAGGCAGTCGTGCGTGGGCAGCACGTAGTAGTGGTTGCGCCCCGTGGCTGCATGCACCGTGGGGGAGCCCCTCGAGACTGCTAGCCGCTACCTACACAACCCCCTTCACCCCCCGCATAGTCCCAGCCTCCCGGACTTACAGGTCTTCCTCAAGACGCAGGGCGAATCTCCCGCCACCACCAAAGGCAAGGCAGTCGTGCGTGGGCAGCACGTAGTAGTGGTTGCGCCCCGTGGCTGCATGCACCGTGGGGGAGCCTGAGATGTCCGAGAAGACAAAGCAGTGGTTGCTGCCCTGGTACTTGCGCCGGTCGGACGGGGTGAGCGCAGAGGGGGAGGAGAAGGCGCCGAAGATTGTTCCTGCGCTGTCTGATACCACCTGGAAGAGTGGAGGGATGAGGGAGTCAACGGGAATTGAGGGAGAAGCAAGAAAGAGAAACAAACAGGACGTCCAGTGTGAAAGAAACGACAGGCGGCGGCGCGAGAGCGAGAAAAAAAAACAAGAGCACAAACAAGAGTCGAACATGTCGAAATGCGCGACGCAGCAGGAAAGTCTTGAAGCGACCTTTCAACCGAACAACGCTTTCAAGAGGACTTGGGAACAGCAGCAAGGTTGAAAGCAGTGGGAAATGAAGGGTACGCACAAGGAGGCAGGGGCCGGGGAGCATGGAGGCCCTGCGGTAGAGCGTGAGGAGCGATATCCCGTGCTTCACCGTGCTGTGACGGGAGTAAATGTTGGAAGGACAGAGGAGATGGGAGATGAACGAAAGACATGAATGGTGACGGAGAGGAATGGAAAAACCGTTACTCAGCGTGTAGCACCCAACTCAGCGTAAATTCTGCCGTTACCTGTAGAGCAGCACCCATTTGCGGCTGCTGACAGTGGCAGGCAGGTGCTTGAACACCGCCGCACGCGTCGCCTCCGACAGCAGAAACGACTCCTCCGTCAGCTCGGGCAATCGCGGCGTGACAGCTGGCGGCGTGACAGCTGGCGGCGACGCCACCGCAGCATCCCCTGCCACGGGGGCAGAAGCAGGACCTGTCGCATTCCTGGCCGGCAACTCAATGCGCCGTGGCCGGCGCGCCGCCAACTTGTCGTCTTTGTCCTTTTCCTGAGGCCATGTCTTCTCGCCTCGCCAGCGATCACAGCTGCTACACTCGCCTGCCGTTCCGCCACCCCCATGGGGCCCGTGCTCCGGAACCGCCCATAAATCCGGGTCCAGGCTGGCAGTCCACGTCAGCGGCATGTCGCAGTCCAGCACAGTCGCCAGCGGAGTGAGTGGCGGCAGACGTTCCGACATGCTTCTGGATAGCATCCCCATCCTCGCTCCAGATTTGATCCTGCCGCCCGCTCTCAAACCACCACCGAATGTCCCTCCCAGACCTGCATCCGAACCTCCACCCGAGCCTCCAGCCGGAGCAGAGTTCACCGAACCGGACTCCGAGGCTGCATCAGGGCTCGTCACGAGACGCTTCGAAGGTGACGTGTAAGAAGAGGACGGCGTGGACTTGACACACTTGGCGCCACGACCATCACAACCATCACCATCGCCATTACCACCGTCCACAGCAGCAACAGCCCGCGCACACGCCCGAGCAGCGGACGCGGAGCGAGGGGAGAACGACAGCCACCTCTTCCGGTTCCAGAACCCAGCTCCACCGCTCTGAACCGCCGTCTTCCTCCCTTCAAAACTCACGGACTTGCCAACAGACGCCAGCTTGCTCCAGCCCCCGTCCTCCTCTCCCCCTGCACCTTCCACCGTCTCCTCTTCCTCGCTCTCCTCGTCAGAATCCGAATCCACATCGGAATCAGAAAGCGAGTACACGGAAGATGCGGCGGATTGGGACGAAGCGGTAGCAGACGACGCGGGTCTCTGGCTGCCACGTGGCGTGACGAGGGAGAGGATGAACGAGGAGAAGGACGACCCGCCTGGAGTGGTAACAGTAGGAGGGGAGGTTACTCCTGCTCCTGGGTTGTTGGTGAGAGAGAGCGAGAACGGTAGCTCGCCGCTTTCCAGCTCCTGTGCGGACGGGATTGTGTCCAGAACCGGTCGCTGGAAGATCGGACGGTTCTGCTGTAGCCCCGTGTTACGGTTACGGACGGCCGTCGGCGGCTGCTTGATGTCGACCGGCTGGCTGACGGGTTGCTTGCCGGGAGAAGGAGCGGGTGGTGGAAGCTTCGCACATGCTGCTGGGGTCAATTTCGTCGGCTGTGCTTCTGCTGCGACTGGTGCTGCGACTGGTGCTGCGAACGGTGCTGCGACTGGTGCTGCGAACGGTGCTGCGACTGGTGTTGCAACTGGTGCGGTCGACGGTTGCTTCGCGAACACGCTTTCCAATTTAGTCACATTCCGTAGTGCTGTCCCGTCGTCGGAAGGTTCGTTTTCCTCCTCGTCGGTTTCGATTACAGCGACGGGGAATACAGCGGCGCGAAACCCTTTCGCCCTGTCTTTATCAGAAGCTCCGGTCTTCGCTTTCTCTTGATTGGACGCGGATGAGACAGGCTCGGTGGTAGGCTCGGAGACAGGCTCGGCAGCTGTAGCAGAGCGTGCGGCGCTCTTTCGTTTCAGGAACATGGTGAGTGATGATAACGGGGTCCGTTGAGGAGTAGAAGCGGCATCGGAGAGTAACGAATTGGAGCCGTTTTTCTTCATAGCGTGAATGCAGCTGTTGCTGCTGCAGCGACCCATCAGGCGAGAGCACGAACCCTGAACGTGGGGAGCGACATCGCAAAAAACGAAACGAGAAAACTTTTGAGGCGCCTCCGAAAGTTGTTGCTGCTGCAGCGACACATCAGGCGAGAGCAGAATGCCTGAATGTGGGGGAGCGACACCGCAAGCGCAAACGAAGGAGCAGCAACTACGGTTATTCATGCACATCCTAAACATCCCAGGAAAGTCCTGTTCAAACGTGACGTGCAGCCACAATCAACATTCGGCGACAAAGCATAACTTGCAAAGCCAATCTCCTCAGATTCATCCAGGCGTCATGACTCGTGCAGTCGAGGTTACCTTGGTCGCTGATGTCGCGTTCTCCACGCTTTGCTGCTGCTGGCGACTGTCGCGAAGGAAGCAACTGTCGCTCGCGTTCCGTCGCATTGCCCTGCGACCCGCTGCCGTGAGCCGTCGCATCATGCGGTCACCGATCACATCACCGAACGCCATGACTCGATGTCAGCACAAAGGCCTTCAAACTCTTGAGCGATGGATTTCCGAGAAGCTTAGCTCGTTTTGACGTCCGCCGTTACAAAAGTTTATTGTGGCGGGCTTCCGGAAACCGCAGTAGGGAACACTTGATTGGTTGCTATATGGGAAATTTACCCGTCGTAACTAGTGATACGGCGACGGAAAAAAAGTAGCACTTCTTGCGAATACTCGCGTGGATAACTGGCTTGTTATCCAGGTACTTCAATCTCTAACGCTTCCGTAGCGGGTGTCACGAGGGAGCAGTAAGCAGTAGTGTCAAGCAAGGATTCGATACACACACGCACGTCGAAGTGACATGGATGCATGAATTTCGGCCGAAAAAACATCCGACGACTAAGGATCCAGCAAACCGGTGGGACGAAATCACGTGTAAAGGGGACGAAATCGACGGTTCTGATCGCAAAAGGATCGTTACTAGTAGGAATGGAACGCATTGGAGAAAACAGGAAAACCAAGAAATGGCTGCTCTTTACAAGAACGGGGTTGGGCTTTCTGCGGAGCTCAATCACACAGATTCCACCCCTCTGCATGAAAACGTGAGGTGAATATATGCAGAGCAGCAGCAGTCAGGACTCAGCGGCGGCCGCAGTGGTGGGAGAAATCAGGATGAAAGGGAGGAAGGAGATGAAGGGGGGCAAATGCAAGGAATGGTGGAAGAACCTGGACAGCAGTGCAGAAAGCACATTCGGGCAGAAAGAAAATCGTATGGAAATGCTTGTTTGGTGCAGATAACATGATTAGAGGGCGGAAATTATTATCAATCAGGAGCAGGTATGAACCGAAGTGGAAATCTAATTGGTGTAGTGTACCCGGAACAAAGTTCTGAATCGGATAGTGCGAAACAAGGCCATGTGGGGGCAGAGGGAACATGGAAGCAGACGGTTCTTGTCTCTGCTGCTGGATTGGTTTGGAGGCGTTACTGTACCGCGGTGGCGCGTGTGCAACCTGTTTTGGCGGCAGCGGCTTTGGAAACTGAGTGTGATGGCTCCGTCGACCGAATTCCGCTGGGGTGTTCGTGTGTGCGACCTCGAAGTATACGCGTGCGATTCTCGAAGCACTCATATGCGACGATGACCTCAACCAGCGTAGGAAAAGACAGGGTGAATGCGACGGCGACGAAATGATGTCGACAAATCTGCCTCTTCCACTGTGAGAAATGAATGGGGTTTTGAATGGCGGCATTGTCGGATGATCTGGTGGCGACAGAGCCAGCATTTCGCCAGCACGCAGCTACGCCAGCGGGGATAGGCGAAGCAGGGCCTTCACACAAAGTCGGTTTAGGTTGCTGGGCGTTTGTTGGCATGCTGTCATCAATCCCGTGGATTGCGTCAACAAGTATTTCCAGATGCGCTTTATGAGGAATGGTCATTGGCCAGCTCAAGCTAGGCTTGTGTGACTGGACGATATGCTGGCTTGGTAAGTTTTCGGAGCAATCGGTGCCGTCGTTGTGTCACCGAGCCTTGCTTGTCTGCTTTCATGAGAGGCTCGATAATCCCAAGCGTGAAAGGAAATGTCTCAGATCAATCTGAAAAGGCCCAGGCTGACGTGCCTCAAGCGAATACCAGGTGGAGAGAATGCCAGCATGGAAAAGTCCACTTGGGTGAAGAAATTCGTCAAAAGGGTTTCGTTTCAAAAGAAGTTCAGTCATGAAGCATTGTCTACGTATGAAACCGGCTGTATCTTATTGTTATGTATGTACTGCTATCAAATCTGAGTATAATTGCTACTAACTCATCCTTACCGCAAATACGAAATATAATACAGACTTTCACAGGGCTGCAAACCATCCAACAAAGTCTGGCAAACTCTACCTTCATGTATCCTTAACATTATTATAGGCCTAGACCTGCATCTCACACAGCCGACGCAGCATTGAGCAAAGCATTGTTGGCATCCTGGTTCAGGGCCCAAAAGAACCACCCCCCAAAGCTTTGTGCCTTCGCATAATTAACCTTGGTGGTGATGGTAGATGGGTTGTCGTAACCAACCCACTGGTTACCCTTCACCGCGTACATGGACGACGATGGAGTATGAAGTGTAGCTTTGTAACCACCAGTGGCTACCATCTGGGAAATCTCCCTGTAGAAAAGGACACCAGCCTCCTGACTCACAGACCCAGCCAGGCCAGGCCCGGTGGCCGCAGCTCCGACCCCAGTGCTGCTTGTAGAGGCTAGGGTCCAGGTTCGGCCGTACATCGCCAAGCCTAGCATGGCCTTGCTTTGGGCCAAGCCTCGGGACACCCAGGCAGCCATGGCGCCCTTGAGGCTCAGCTGCAGGTTGCTCAAATCCTCCAGAGCAGTGTGCATGCCTGTCTTTGCCTCCCACGACCCATGTAGATCGTAAGTCATTATATTTACAAAGTCCAGTGTTTTGTTAAGCGTCGGAACGTCGTATGCCTGCGTAACAGTCGGCTCGTAGGCAGAAACCGCTGCGGTCAGAAGCAACTTCGGCTTCCCCGAACTTGCCGCTTCGGACTCGATCGCCGCCCGGAAATCCGTGAGCAGGGCAGAGAAAAGCGCGATCTGCCCGGTCGGGTACTCCCAGTCGATATCCAGACCGTCGAAATTGTACGACCGGGCGAAACGAATCGCAGACTGGATGAAGGCGGAACGCGAGGAGGCGGAGGAGGCGGCGTTGACGAAAACGGTGGTGCCGGCGGAATAGCCCCCGATGGAGAGCAGCGTCTTGATGGCAGGGTTGGCGGACTTAAGGGCGGAGTTGAAGCGCAGATAGAGGCCCTGAGTGATGTCCACTGCAGGATTGGATGGGATGATCTGTGAGGGGGGAGAGAGAAGGTGAAGGAATAGGGGTGATTAGGGTTGGCTTGGCTACCTTAAGAGCGGAGTCGAAGCGCAGGGCCCTGAGTGATGTCCATTGCGGGGTTGGATGGGATGACCAGGCATGGGAGGGAGAAAGGTAATTGGATCGAGGATGCATAGGGTATGGTCAGCCTTGACGTGGGTCAAAAGAAAAGAAAAAAAGAAAAAAAAAAAAGAGAAAATGGATAATATTTTGGTGATACTGTACCTGATAAGTAGAGGAATCGATGAGCGCAAAGGCGTAGAAGACATGCGTGAGGCTGGCAGCGGGAATGACGGATGGGTCCATGCCCGCCCAGTTGACAAAATACGCCATCCGCTTCAGCCCAGACGAGGAGGGCGGGGGAGAGGACGTGGAAGGAGGAGGTGGGGAGGGAGACGTGGACGGGGGAGGCGGGGAGGGGGACGTTGAGGGAGAAGGGGGAGGAGGGGAGGGGGAGGAGGAGGAAAGCGAGCACTGGGACTGGCAGCCAGGGCCGCAGTAGTCGAGGGTGGAGCCACACCAGCCGTGGATGCTGCAGCAGAGACCGTTAGGGCAGATGCTATTGCCGTTTTGAGCGCCGCACTCTGGAGTGGAAGACATTCAGGGAGAGGAGAGGGGTGGAGAGTGATGGGAAGGGGTGGGAAAGTTGGGTTGGGAGGGGTGGGGAGGGGTGGGGAGGGGTGGGTGGGGAGACTGGGGAAAGAGTTGAAGTGGGGAATGAACTAGCTGCAGCAACTAGAGCCCAGTGTAGCGGCACACTCGTAGATAGACACTCAAAAACAACTTGAAAATGATGTTACAGTTACACAGTACACTCTGAAATCATCAAAATTTGCATCACTATGAGAGGCAATGGAGCGCTCACGGCCATTGGTGGACACAGGAGGGGAACCGGTAGTTGCTGGCGGAGGCGGAGAGCTCGTGGGCGGAGGGGGGGAGCTGGTAGGCGGAGGGGGGGAGGCGGAGGGGGTTCCACTGCACGGGCCGGATAGGCAGCCAGAGCCGCAGTAATCGACGGTGGAGCCGCACCAGCCCCACTTGCTGCGAGAAACGGACGGTTGAGATGCAAGAGGGGAGAGGCGCGCAGGGGGGAGGGGGAAAGGTTAGAATCGAAGGCTCGGAATCAGAAGAGGCTCGAAATCGGAGGTTCGGAATCCTACAAAGCTCGGTATCAGAGGTTCGGAGGCGCGGATTTGAAGACTCGGAATAGGAGGCTCGGAGTCGGACGACGCAAGGTCACGACTCACGAACATGGGCCGCATTAGTAGGAACGCACCTGCAGCAGAGATTGTTGGCGCAGCGAACGGTCGCAGAGCACTGCTGTGCGACGACTAGGCGAGCGAGATGCGACGATGAGAGAATGAGGCAGAGAAGAAGCGGCAGGAGGAACGGAGGAAGCTTCCTCATGGCGCCGCGACGAGGCTCCGACGAGCGGCCGACGCCGCGTCGATTGAGATCAGGCGACATTGTCGTCGGTGTGCGATGACAGGCGACGTCGTAGACGAGTGCACACGGATCTCGTGAGACTGGCCGCCGAGGTCAGCAAATCTCTTGTCAAGTCGTTTGACTTGCCTCAAAGAGAGATGAGGGGCCGTCCACAATCTATGACTCAATCTGGCCGCTCTAGAATGTATGACACCTCAACGAGCCCCAGACCCCTAGATGGCGCGGTGAGGAAGTAGGAAGTGACGAGGGAAATCCTAGGAGGTAGAAAGGTGAATGCGATGTTATGGTCAGGTTTGAAACGAGGTATATATTTTCGATGGGCGGGATTTGACAGTTGGGTTGGGGCTGAGTTTTGAGTAACGACCAATCCAATTGTTGTTGGGCTAGTAGTTGTTGTAACTCGAATAGTCGAGTCGAGATTTACGAAGGTGCCACGCCGCTTCGAGAGTACACATGATTCCAGGTTCACTCACGCCATTATTTCGACAAAAGGAGATTAAAACGGGCATGAAGGGACTGAAAACCATCGCCCATGTTACTCAGTTAACCGTCACTACACGTGAACATGGGTTTTCAGTTGACAACGCACGGTTTTCGAAAATACACCTCAAAAGCGCAGTATCGTCGCTTCTGGGGCAGGGTTACTGCCCGTTTTTCGATTACAGCGCAGAGTTAGTGCGATTTTTACGCAGTTCGACGCTCATTTGTCTAAATCTCCGAAAACGACAAGCCAAATGTGTAAGAGAAAAAAGTTGAGCCCAGTCAGGTGTAAAGCATTTTTCAAGCCTATATAGAGAGAGCATCAATCCTAAACATCCATTTGCATAGTGTTTAGGGTTGATTCTCCCTCGATGGCAGAAATTAAAAACATATATAACCCGTCGCAAACACCTCCACCAATGTTTAGGGTTGATGCTCCTTAAACACTTCCGTCCGGTGTTTAGGGTTGATGCTCCCAAAACAGCATGCCATCTGAGAGGGTAATATAATTTGTCTGCCCAAAATTCAGGTGCAAACGATTCGATGGCCGTCAATCCAAACGGAGTTATCGGTCCGTCGACTTTTTGACCAATGAAAACCTTACTGCGTAGATATCTACTTAACTCTACGCTGTAAACGAAAAATGGGCAGCAACAGTGCGCCAGAAGCGACAATAGAATACTTTTGGCGTTTATTTTCAGTATCAATGCGGCCTCAACTAAAAACCCCTTGAACATCGTGTGTACTGTGCCTCGCGCATGTAGCAGTTGTGTGTTGTAGTGGAAGTGACCAATGCCATGACACCAATGCCTTTCAATACGATTTCATGGTCACAATCATCCAAGCCTCCTTTCGCTCGGTTCGGATGACCTGGCTCGTACACTTGGTGAAGCCACGCCACACAGAAGGCAACCTTAGCGGGCACTTCTGTAACAACCACTCGCAGAAGTGCCCCCTCGCCATGCATCGCGAGTTCTGCCAGACGTGTTCTGAACTGTACAGAGTGAGGCTGCCTTCCAGACGGACATGGCCTGATAACCCCCATCTAATCAGCTACAACCAAGCATAACACTCCTAAACCGTTTGTGAAGCCAGTTTAATCCGGCTACACCGCGTCGTTCTGCCAGGCACCCCCACAATCTCGAGATCGTAACTGTAACAGCGTCCCAAGAACATGGCCGTTAGTAACGGCGTCTTTTTATTGGATGACCGACAGACTCTCAAGTTGGGCTCTATTGTCTCTCGAATTTTCGAATGTGTAACTGTTACGGGTACAATGAATCTAGGTAGCTAAGATTGCACTAAGGTGTCAAACGAGTACAACATGTGAGCTAAGGCATGTGTGAACGCGAAACATGCAAACGGTAACGCGGTGTGTGCGAGCTAGCTAGTGCTAGGCTGGCATCGAGGTTCGGGCTAGTCCCGAAGCGTGGGCCGACACGGCCGGGCCAGCGGTGCATGGCTTGGTGAGACAGTGCGCGCGAAGTTGGCAAAGTCCCATTAGCTGTAACGAGCGAACAACGGCTGCTGCTCTGCTGTATGCGGTGTTGCCGATCTCAGTAAGGAATGTCAAGAAAATTCCTTACACTACCCCCACCCTCAAGAAGTCCCCTCCGCTACGTGGGCGCGTGTAAATTGCGGAAACCCCGGCTCCTCAGGTACACTTGCAGGTTAGGGTGGTTTTCAATGTTGGTCTGGGGCACCCAGCAGTCCTTAATTGGCGTGCGATCCTTCCAGCGAACGAGGAACTCGATCCCCCTGATTCCCGTGGGGTATCGAATCCGATGGCGCAGAATCTTATCGTGTTCAATCTTCTGGACGGCGGTGGCGGCCAGCGTTGCGCTTAGCGATGACGTTGCTTTTTTTAAATGCTTCTATGGCTCTCGTTCCGGCAGCCTGCAGAATCTCGACGAATTGCTGTGCACGTGGCGTAAGGTTGTCCGGACTCGGCGTCATGGGCACTGTTGGATTTTGCCCGTAGTTCAGGTAAAACGGAGACTGCTGCGTCGTTGCTGACGTGGCGTTGTTGTACGCAAACTCAATCAGCGGCAGCTGCTACTCCCAAGTTGTCGGGTCGTCGCACGTGGCATGGATCAACTGCTCCATCGTCTGATTCGTCCGCCCCGTCTGACCGTCGTGTCAAACTCATATGCTATAGTCTGTGTAGGCTGTAGTGGGTTAGACAATATGGGGTACAACACTTCTAGGTTTTCCTACTTGTACCCACCTGCTTGCTAGTTCATTCATTCATCATTTCTTCACATGGTATAGAGCAGGTTCCCTAGTGGGAACGCTTCCTTGGGCCCACCACTGAAACTTTTTTTTCCGACCGGAGCGACAGTCGCTCCTGCCCGAGGCGCGCCTTGTGGGTTGCCCTTCTGTCGACCTCTCTTAGAGGCCCCTCTCACGGCCCCTCGCGCCACCCTCAGCGGCCCCGTAGCCGCCCTTCCAGGCCCCTCGCGGCCCCTAGCGGCCCCGTTACCGCCCCTACGCGGCCCCGTCGCCGCCCCTAGCGGCCTTGACGCCGTTTCTAGCGGCCCTGTCGCCGCCCCTAGCGGCCACGTTGCCGCCTCCCTCCCTACGCGGCCCCGTTGCCGCCCCTACGCGGCCCCGTACCCGCCCCTAGCTGCCCAGTCACCGCCCCTACGCGGCCCCGTCGCCGCCCCTAGCGGCCCCGTAGCCGCTTCCCTCCCTACGCGGCCCCGTAGCCGCCCCTACGCGGCCCCGTCGCCGCCCCTAGCGGCCCCGTCGCTGCCCCTAGCAGCCCCGTCGCCGCTCGCCTCCCTAGGCGGCCCTGTTGCCGCCCCTACGCGGCCCCGTCGCTGCCCCTACGCGGCGCCGTCGCCGCCCCTAGCGGCCCCCGTAGCCGCTCCCCTCCTTACGCGGCCCCGTCGCCCCCCCTACGCCGCCCCGTCGCCGCCCCTACGCGGCCCCTTCGCCGCCCCTAGCGGCCCCGTCGCCGCCCCTAGCAGCCCTATCGCCGCTGACCTCCCTACGCGACCCCGTTGCCGCCCCTAGGCGGCCCCGTCCCTGCCCCTACGCGGCCCCGTCGCCGCTCCTAGCGGCCCCGTCGCCGCTCCCCTCCTTACGCGGCCCCGTCGTCGCCCCTGCGCGGCCTCGTAGCCGCCCCTACACAGCCCCGTCGCCGCCCCTAGCGGCCCCGTCGCCGCTCCCCTCCCTACGCGGCCTCGTCGCCGCCCCTAGCGGCCCCGTCGCCGCCCCTTCCCGGCCCCGTCGCCGCCCCTAGCGAGCAGCCGAGCCGCCCAGCAGCAGCAGCCGCCCCTGGAGCAGCCGCCACTGCAGCAGCCGCCCCTGGAGCAGCCGCTGTCAACGGGAGTTGGGTATTGGCCCCGTCCTCGCTTGGGCGGAGCCGACTTCGTGGTCGGGTGTGAGGGGAGCAGCCGACC